ACGTAAAGTTTTAACCGAAGGCAAAAAGGTACATGGAGAAATCCTTTTTTACTTTTATTGAATGTATATTTTTGTATTTATTGCCGTCGCCAATTTCGTCTACCAATTGGTAATAACAACCTGTTTTATATCTTCATAGTTAACTCATCAATCAAATTGTGTCCCTCCATTTCAAAAGGTCACGAGCCGCCACAGATGTATTCATAACCACCCTCTTCGGATTGCATCGTCCAAAATACGTATGTTCCTTTTGAATTTAGTCATTTTCCACGTTTTTGCATGTTTGCATACATTTATCCAATTTTAAACTGTTATTTCATTAAATCTTTGCCTGGCCAAATTGTCAACATCTCGTAACTTAAACGGGAGATTTTGTGTTGCTACCCAATTTTTTACCATGGTCCAAACCTTTTCTAATTGATTTAATTCAGGATGATACGGTGATAAACGTAACACAGCATGATCATGTTTCGTCATGATATTATCCAACTTATAACATGGATTTTTAATATAATATATATCATAAAACAAAATATTATAGTTATTTATGTACCAAGGGCACAAAGAAGATGTTTATATTCGAGGGCAACGTTTACAAAATCGAGGGCCTCTGGCCCGAGATTTATAAACATCAAGTTGTGCCCGTGGTGCATACAAACTTTTATTTTTCACGAGAAAATCTAAAAAAAAGACTAATTTCTACAGGGTGCCGCATCCAAGTCTGGATATAGGGAATTAACATGGGAATTGGTTTTTATTTTATAATATCTCCCCAGATCACTTTGAAGCTATTATTGAGTGATGCCTTTGTGGAGGTCGAAGAGGGCTATCGGCCAGTATTTTTTTCAAATCGTTGCATCGCGCTCATTCACTGTAAAAAGGTTTTAAAAATGGTGTTTTGAAATTCGCGCCCAATCCGATTTGTCGCGAAGTGTTCCGTCGTACTGTCGAAGTTCGGCGATCGCGTCTTTCCAATAACCATGCAAAATCCAAATGTCAAAGCGAAATTAGAAATTATTCTCATCAGAAATCAACGAACAACTCAAACTGAATTATTTTATCCAGTGTGATGATTATTGTAGGACAAATTAAACGGAATAAATGCAGAAATTGGTCCATTCATTCGTCATAGTGCGCGACCCCGTCAAACGGGCCATTTCGAACTACACTGAGACCGTATCCAAAAAGCCCGAGATGAAGACTTCGAGCAGCTGGTCTTCCTCAAAACCCCATCAAAGTCCATCGGCAGTATTGTGACATTTTCTGGGAGCCATCAAGCTAGGAATATACACGCACTGCCTCACTCAGTAATCACTGAACGACTCAAATTGAATTGTTTTATCCAATATGATGATTATTGTAGGTCAATTTAAACGGAATAAATGCACAAACCGCACCAAATATTTTATTAGGTTATGTTGCTGGTGCTGGTCGAGTCTTTATTACTAAAATCTCATTAAAATGCCATGTTCTACTGCGATTAGATGAAAAATCGAGGGCCCGCTTTTCTTATTGTGTGATGATAAGATTTACCATCAAAACAGCTGGCGCTTTTGAAGAGGACCTTTTAATGAACCATTTAGATAACTACAAATAACAAAACTTAACAATTGTTGATGAATTAAGTAGTGAAATATTGTACGAATCTGGAGAAGTATTGCACTATTTTCAAGAATTGCTCAAAAACACTGCTCTCAGCAGCTGTACAGTAAGTAAGCCGATCTTCAAAACTCCTACACGTGTTGATCAGCATTTTAGTTGAAATCTGAAGACAATATTGCTGGACTGCTTGTTTCAGCGCTTCTCTGTTTGTATAGCTTGTCTGAATGCAGATGGTCGTGAAGAAATCTCCAAAGAAAAAATTTCTCAGGGGTTTAGATCTGGCGATTGCACAGGCCAATGGGGCGGTGCAAACTTTCCATTCCAACATTGCGGAAAAATACTGGTTCAAATAAACAACATTTATGCGAGTTGTATGGCTGGAGATTTGGTCCTGGATGTAAAAGACCTGCTGCAGATGCCGCACCCTTCGAGTCCCAGGAAGTATTTGCTGAGCTAGCATATTATTCTACTTCTGAGCATTCAATCCGAATTCGATGAAAAAAGGTGCAATGACATGATGTCCTAGAAGCCCCAGTCATACACTGACAATTGCACGCCATTGATAACGAAGGTCATGGACCACGTGAGGGTTGTGTAATGCTCAAATTTAATCGTTCTAACGATTATAACTTCCCTTAAGACCAAATGAACGTCAGTAAAACAAATGTTCCTCAAAAACTCTCCATCAGCCTAGATTCTCTCAAGCGTTCCTTCGTAAAACTCTATATGTGAGAAGTAGTCTTCAGGCTTCAATTTTTTGTCATGATGCTTTTTGAAATTCTTCTATCTCATCTGTTTAAGATCCCTAGAAAACGTCGTGCCCACCTGATTTTATGTAATTTTTATCACCTTTGAAAATAAATGTAACTTTATTTTGCGAAATATTATTTTTATTTTTGTTGTTGTTAACACAATAAACAAATAAAACAGTAATACAAAACTTTCTGAATCCCAAAACACATTCGTAATAGAGAAAAATACTTTAAAATGTTGATGAGTCAATGTTCTACATTTCTCTCTCAAAAATTTCCTGTAATGAAGATGTTTCCTGGAGGCAAAAAATCCATCCCTGCTTAACGAATGTAAAATCAATTGACTTCCAATCTTTAGTGATTCCAAAAAAAAGGGGGAAATTTATCCAAATTACCTACTAATTAAATTAACCGTTGAAGAACATGCAGGCCCCCGCTTTTTCATCTAATCGCAGTAGAACATAGCATAACCTAATAAAATATTTTGTGCAGTTTGTGCATTTATTCCGTTTAAATTGACCTGCAATAAATCATCACACTGGATAAAATAATTCAGTTTGACTTGTTCGTTGATTTCTGATGAGAATAATTTCTAATTTCGTTTTGACATTTGGATTTTGCATGGTTATTGGAAAGACACGATCGCCGAACTTCGACAGTACGACGGAACACTTCGCGACAATTCGGATCGGGCGCGAATTTCAAAATACGATTTTTAAAACCTTTTTACAGTGTATGAGCGCGATGCAACGATTTGAAAAAAATACTGGCCGATAGCCCTCTTCGACCTCCACAAATGCATCACTCAATAATAGCTTTAAAGTGATCTGGGGAGATATTATAAAATAAAAACCAATTCCCATGTTAATTCCCTATATCCAGACTTGGATGCGGCACCCTGTATAATTAATTAGTAAAAAAAAAAATTTACGTGGCGTTGATTTTGTTGTCAAGGAGATTCTATGTTTATTGCAAACACGGCGTCTATTCACGGTGTCAACACGTATATTTTCGACCGCGGAAATGAATGAGGAAAATTGTGAAATTCCAGAAAACATTGTGAAGAAAGCGCAAAAAGCCAATGAAAATGTGTTACCTGGAACATCAGGATCCATATATGAAAAAGAATACAAAATTTTCCTTAATTGGAAGATTAAGAAGTGGCTTACTTCCAAGAATTGGTGAGTTATTCTGTTTATAAAATAATTATTTAACTGTGTTCTTCATTTTTAGTCAGAAAAATATTCACCCAGTTCCTTATGGTGAAAATACTCGATGGTCAAGACAACTTTAAGAGTAAACGACAACATAGACCTAGTCGGCCATGCATAGACATTTCTAATTATCATCGTTTGACATATTTCAAAAAAAAACCCAAAAGGTTATGTGGCAAAAAAATCCCGAGTTTTGACTGGCGAACAAGTCATGCAATTTCTAAAAGATGCTTCCGACAACAGATATTTACTTCAGAAGGTAAACTAAGTTATTTTTTGATGATTGTAATTAATTTAAATACGAATCTTTTATGCTGTAAAGGTAGTTGGAGGATGAGTGAACACAATTCAAGATTTTTATATATTTGGTGCTAGCAGAATGGAAGCAGTGGCAGAAATAATTCCAATAGAGGCACGTCCGAAAAGTTTAAGTTTACCTGAATAGCTTGGTATGAATAGCAAGTTTGTAAATTGTAATTTGTGTCTTCGTTATTAAATAAATTGTCAAAAAATAAATAAGTAGTTAGAAATAAACAATTTTTTTTTAATTTTTGTTTAATTCGGTTTAGCAAAATAGGGCATAATGAGAGGGCGTAATAACTCTTTATGCCCGCTCATTGTGCCCCGGATATAAGATGCCGCTTTACGTTTATCAAATCATGGATATAAAACAAACATTATATACGAGTGAAAAATACAAATTATTATTACGTCATTAAAATAACGTTTTATTATTCTGGTTTTGTCATAGAGTAAATCGGATATTTTTTGCTTGAATCCGTTTTACTATATCTTTTTTGAGGGTTGTGGACACTGGTTCTTTATCTAGTCGGACGTTGTTATATGAGGCACTGTCGGTACTGACGCGGAACACTGTGGCTAACTTGGTGTCAGTTGTGTCTTTATCCATCTAAAAAAGTTTTCAGCATCCATATCATCGTAGTAATTTGGTATATGTTCCCGTTTCACCACCTACATGCACCACGATTAAGCGACGCCCTTTACCATATGCTATCATTGTTTTCAAGTACTCTATTCGTTTGTAACGGATGTTATGATTCCATCAAGGTATTTCTATTATCGAATTTTCTATTTAAAACACATTTTGTGCATCAGTCCCCATAATGACGTCAAATCTCCCTTAAATTCTATTTTAGCTGTTATCTTTGCTATACTGCCTTTAACTTTTACTAGAAAACGATATGTCCATTATGATTAATTTGTGTTTATTTATAGCATTCAAACAGTACTTGCCACGGCCTTTGAAATATAACTAACACACTGTACATGCCAGTTAATCGACCGAAACTTTCAAGTACTTACATAAGTAAAAGTTAATCATTTTTTGTGTAATTAATTAAATGAATTAAGTCGTTAATTAAAGGAGTTGTTGATAAATTTGTATAATATGTTTGGAATGAATAAACAAATATGACATAAATGGAGCTGTAAATTTATTTACATAATTATATTCATTACAAAAATTTGTTCGCATAATTTAATAATAACATTTATTTGATATGTAACGTACATTTATCGCAAGTTTCACTGGGAACTTCGTGCAAACAAAACAGTGTTTATTACCTACACAGAATCACAACAATAAATTAGTTACGGCCTGCGCTAAAATAAAATACTGTAACACAATCATTTTTCTTAATTAATAAAAATCCTTGATACAAATTACTTAGCAGTAACAAAATCTGGTGGCATATGCCCACTATCCCCCAAACATCTCAATATTACTCTCCCACTTGGTGTTATCGACAGCCACGTAATGCTAGCATGATTTAAAGACATCCTCAACCAAGCTTCAGCAGGCAATTGTAACGCTCTAAAACCAAAATTATTCTTTAGTGAACTTATATTTTGTTATTCTTACAATAACAAAAATTAAACTCACCTACAAACAAAATACCGGATCACGTTAGCATGACAAACCAGCAAAATGTACGAATCCTCCTGCTGCTTAGGAGAGGCTCGGTGAAAATACTTGCGGAACGCAGCCTCTATCCTTGCACCATCAACAAAAAACTTCTAACCAGTAAAAATCAATAACTACTCCATCGAGTTGTTAAAATACTTACATGCATTTCCTGCTTCCAGTGACCCACTGGAGGCTCCGGAGGAATTGGGGCCCCTTCAACCAAGAGGTCGCAGCTGTTAACAGGTACTTGTGGTAAACAGGTCGATATAATAGAGCCAGTTTCTTGGGCTCTAGACATAGTGGATTTGACCATGCTAGTGTACGGAAATCCCAATTCTTGGAGTCTTTTCCCAGTGTACTCGGCTTGCACTTTTCCTAAGCGTGTTAGGGTTCGTTCTGCATCAGTCTGCCCTTCAACATTATACTGACCATGGCGGATCAAAATTATGTGTCTTACTGATTTGGGTTTTTGAGACATAATTTCTTCGTTTATGCGGTTGCTTTCTGTTTCATTTTTGTATACTTTGGAATTAATAAGATATTTTGGGGAGCGACTAAAAGCGAAATAATAAATTATCACTAGTCAAAAAAAGGATTTTTTTACATATTACAATTGTACTTTTTTTTTCACCCGATTAGTGTCAAATACTAGAAGAAACAGTGGCTGTCTGATCATTTTGCGGTATTCTTATATGTCACAACACTCGAACCACGCTTTTTTGGCCTTTAAACGAGTCTTACTTGAGAAATTTACATATGCAATTTTATGCATAACGTCAGTATGTAAAATGTATAGTGCATAGATATTCAGATGAATTTTACTACTTCGTACCTTACTTGACTTTGGGATTGTTTATGACGTTCCTAAAGCACTTCAATCACGAAAGTTACAGAACCGTATTTGAAAATACTTTTGAAATGATGAAGCACTTATTCGAGAAAATTAGTTATTAGTTTAATATTTTCTCGCAGTAATTTTATTCTTCTAATATAGATTCTGCCAATTCCTTACTTTTGTTGACTGAAGACCCTTTGTTTAACGATCACTATTATACTCAAACCCAAAAACGGATTGAGAAGATATTTTCTTGGCACCTTATATCTGTCTTGTATTCGTTAACCGTTGTAAATATATGTACTTCTCAGGAAAATTTTCAGTTTATGAAGCATTGTCCATCTAGGTACAAATCCATCCACGCATGGTTGCAAACGATTTAAAAACCATTTTCTTTGTAAATAGTTAAATAACGTTTTGTTGAAAACTTTTTGATGCTGAATTTGATTGGATGAAAAAGCACTAAATCCGGGGCTCGGAAAGCAATCAAACCTTGTTTTGACTGCAGAGATTAAGGGTGTCATTACCACCCGAAAAATTACATAGGGTATGCAGCAATAAAATTCATGTAAATATCGATTCACTATACATACGATGATTTAAATTAAATTTAGACAGTCTGTGGTAATCTGATGTGTTATAAACAGAGCCCGGCACCTCGGGAGTGATACGTCATTGCTCCATTAGCGAAGGACTGGGCAAGGGAATGCGAATTTAAATTAAGACCATTTTCTCGAGAAACTCTGGCGCAAAGTTCATTCTTTTCGATGTCAACCTATCTTTAAATGTTGAAAATAATCACTTAACGTCACAACAATCAAAAAGATTATAGCACGAATTGCAGATAGAGGTGTACACTTTTGCACGTCTCTGTCTAGACTAAAGAAACGCATCAAAGTGCAAATATTTAGCGACGCCAGCCAAACTAACGGCGCGCTGTCGCGTGGACTCTACAAGCTGATTTCGAAATACATATACACAATAATTATAACCACGGCATCACGTACCGTGTAATGTGGAAATATGGAAAAAACAAATTAAAAGTTGATGGGGCAAAACCCCCATACACCCTCGATGCGATGCCCCTGATCCACCTTTGAACAGTAGGTGGAAAACCGTTCGAATAAAAACGATGTATAAACACTTTCAATATCAATTAAAAGTAACACCGACTTTTTGTTTGTTATCATTCATTCATTCATGTATTCATTCATCGTTAAGGGTCAATGTGAAAGATTATTTGTTGTAGAAACAAATGGTGGTCCTGAGAAGGACCGATTTTTGGTAATAGTAACCGACTTTTATTCTGACGGATGTTTGATCCTTGCCACAACGATCCCACATTGTTTATTAGAACAAACATAAGAGCAACTTACAATGATCACACCTTTTTACAATAAATGTTAAACATGTTGTCCTTCACTAGCTACACGGCCTTCAGCTCGTCGCAACATGTGTGCAAGGCACGGTGTATAATAAGTTAGGTGTTCCGACGAGCGCGTGAAACGTGTCCCCAACTAGTCACAGATTTGGAGTGAGAGAAACAGAAGAGGGCGGCCATCATTTAATCGCACAGACGGGAAAGAGACAGGAGAAGTATTTGTCGGAATTAAAGCCATTTAGGTCAAAAAATCATCAAAATTAATTATCCGTTGTATTAAAATAAAAACTTTAAACATTTTTAAAATAACAATTAATTTAAAAGATGAATGTAAACTCGTTAAAGATAGTTCTTTTCGCCTTCACATATTAGGTATATTAGTTTGACTCACTTCTGTTCGTTTCACAAGACAAGTAAAAAATATCCATTAACCATTAGGTATCTGCTTTACTGTAAAAATTTACCATTATTACGTAGTCTGCAGTCGAGACTTTTTTCTTTTTTCTGCACATGCTTTGGTTGTTTTCTCTTGTTCCTATTTATAAAATTGTTTAATTCGCATAATTGTGTAAAAATATATTGCCTTTGAAAATATTTCCATTCTATGCTCTTCACAATAAAAAGGAAAGCAAATAGTCATAAAAATTTTTGTTGCGAGTAGCTCTTCAATTGTTGCATCGAATACATCCACAAAATCGATATATTTCATAAGTATCCCTTCCACCCATCGGAACATATTAAACATTAACAAATCTGGGTGGTTTAACCACCCCCTGGATTTTGTACTAGTAAATTCAGATGTACTAGAACATGGATCTTCTTTGTTATATAACTGTTCACAGCAAATATTACATTTTGAAGTATTGTACAATTTTTTTGCGACAAGTCCAGCTAAGTAATAAATGATGTTGTCAACAATTTTAGTTGTAGTGACATCTTCAAATAGTTGTTCGTCTATTTCGTTAATCGGTGAATCTGTATCTAAAATATATTCAATTTTCCTTTTTATTTTCTCAACATGATTTTTCCCGCATTCTGGTATTTGTTTCAAAAATATTTTTGAAGTCATTAAGTGATAACGAATGATTTGCATTACTATTTTCCTGCATCTGTGTGCAATTGCCAAATTTCGGAGGTTTTAATAATTTATAAACCGATAACATTCGGTATAGCTGCAAAAAAGTTATAAATGAGGGACGTCCATTGGCACAACCTGCTTGTCGAATTGTGCCGAAAAATCTCTGCAAAAAATATAGTTTATGTGGAATAAGGAAAAAATACATATCGCATTCAAAAACCCTCTGAGAATAAACATAAATTCTGTTTATTGAATGTTAAAACATAACACATAACCGATAAAAAGGCAGTAATTGTTTTAAGTAAAAATAAAATTCAACATAAAATGCCTACTATTACTATAGCGACGACCAGTATTTTTTAGTGCAAAGTGTTGTTCAAAAGCAGCAGTTCACTACTGCAATAGAAGTGCCATTCCAGTAATATGTCTTTAGGTACCCAAAACACTGACACTTTTTCGGAATTACCATTGTATCCGGTAGAACAATTAGGCACAACACATTTTCTACCCATTTTTATTGATAAATCAAAAAACAAGTAAGAAATCGCAGAGAAAACCTAGCAAAATCTTTCACACCTACCGAGGGAAAAAACCCGTCAAACGCCTAAACAGATCTAAGTGAGAGGTTACAGGCCGCCGCTGTTTGTCTCTTTCGACCGCTGCTCGTGAGTAAACCGGCGTCAAGTCGATGCACGGTGAATACGCTTCGTCGTAACACCTAACTTGTTATACACCGTGGTGCAAGGTTACGTAAAAAACTCCGGGAGTTCCACGAACTCTAGCGGCTGCCCCTTCCAATCGTTGTTGAAGCTCTTCGATAGTTTCTGGACACTGTTGATTTCCATAAACTAACGTTTCATCCAAACCCACAGACAAAAATCACACGGACTGAGATCGGATAAACGCGGAGGCCAAACTACTGAGCCGTTTCTACTGACCCATTGGTTAGGAAAATAGTTAACCATTCAGTTACTGGCCTCGTAAAATGTAATTTTACCCACTCTTATATCATTTTTACCCACAGTTTAGTCATTTTTTATAACCATGGAAACCGAAGTCGAAGTAGAAATGGAAATATTTACTCTAATATTCGAATTCTTTTTCATATTTGCTTTCAGACTTGGTGGGAAGTAAACTAGATGTTGCATTTGAAACTTCCAATGCTATTTGTAGATATATAACCGGAGTTCATTTAAAAAGTCATCAAGTTGGTTTTGATTTTTTATAAGCATTGTGAAGTATGTCTAAAATTAACCTGAAATTTAATCGATGACAGCTGACAACGCGGAAATGTCAATTATATAGAGGAGTATGAATTTATAAAACACATGCCTTTTTCTCTCCGTTTTCTTCTACCAAAAAAGCAACGTCAACTTGATGACTTTTTTAATTGAACACCCGATATCCCTCAAATGGTTAGTCAAGTAAAATTTGTACACCTTTGCTTGTGCTCATATATTTTGAACTATTATAATTTCAAATGACAGCCAAAGTTGATTCAGGCAAACTTACTGCTTCGTCAGTAACATAGCTTGCGGCACACTAATTTAAAAAAAATCGAAAAATTTAAATGGCACAACTAAACAGCTTACAGTGACTTACAGTATGTAAGTGCCGTGCTGACGTGCGTTTCCAAGACAACACGTCTAAAGCTCATACGATTTTTTTTCAAATATCGGAATCTCAGAAGTTTTTAATAATTTATAATAGTTTATTTACATGTGAGGAACAAATAAAATATTCAACAATACATGCATGGTAACGGTTTTACTGGCTCCAGAAGGTGTCTCGCTCGCCAATCATATCCTTCTGTCCGCCACTAAAAACCCATTTACCAGGCTAGTATTGGTAAATACTCTTAATACTTGGATTACAATTCTCAAAGGGCTACTATCACAGATATCAATTATTAATGTATTAAAGGGCTAACAAAAAGTTAATTAATCTCATTAACCCTAGTAACGACGCCGATGAACAGCATGAAATGAACAAATCTATCAGTTCTTTGTCACTTTTACGACTTACATGAACTTGTACACTAATTTTATACTTTAACCAATGTCTTGGTCTTCAAAACGTATTGAGGCCCAATTTAAACACTTAAAAGTTAAAATGCACCACCAAGTTCATATTGAAAACAGTTAAGAAGATAACAGAAAATACAGACTTACTGATCCCAATTGTCGTTCCATTTTGCATATGCCGAGGGCTCATAATTTGTTGTCCACGAGGCGTAAACCTTCTTGTTAGGACTAGTCAAATAATAATAAGTTATAGCACCTGAAGCGACACAAACGCCTAAAAAAGCTTTCTTTAACTTTATCAGAGGCCTCATGTTAAATTTTTTATATAAATTCTTCTCTTTATGTTATAAAAGCATAAATAAATTTATGAGTAGAGACATTACTAAAAACTGAAACTTAACACTGAATGTTAGGTTATGTTCTACAAAGAACATTCAGAAATGAAACTCTTACGGGTGACCTTGAAAGCAAATCCTGCATCCATCTTACCATGGTCTTCTTGTACCATGCACGTGCTATGCACCTTACCTATTTGATTTTTCTGAATTTTGAACTGTACATTACTACATTGGTGATTGCACAAGATTGTTGTAATGTATATTGAGTAGATTATTAGTACAAATGACTCGAAATGACAAAAAATTCAAATTCGGCAAGGTCAAGTTTTATGAGGCGAAATTGGAGCGATAGTTTTTTGTTTGTTTCCCGTCGGTCTTAACATAAAATTACACAAATGGTTAATTCTTTCGAGTTGAACTAAATTCTGTTACAAAAAAGTTAATTTGTCGCAGTGCTGTAATTAAATAATTTAATAATTACACGGTATATAATGTTTCACTTCAAAACATTGTCAATTCTATGGACACTGCGGCTGAAATTGATGCATATGCGCATTAATCTCTATTACCAACGACTACCAACAATTAAAAGACAAACTTATTCCACAGATTTTTGAAAATTTAAGCATACTGTACGCTTTATTCAGACAGTTTAATGTAAACCATAGGTATTTGCAAGGTAGCAACTCGGTCACATATAAAAAATCATCTTTTAGTTTGAATTTTAGAAGAATTCATTTTGATTAGAACTTCTAATGCTCAAAATGTTGCCGTCCCTGTGTGTCACAGTCACCTTGATTGACACATGTCAAAGTTCTAACAAAGAAATAACAAAAAAGAAATCGTGAATTGAGGGTGAATTGTAGCTTATTAAAAGGCTTCAGTCATCATGAATTCGCCCCTTTTACACGCGGACTGTAAACGGGCCGTCCACGACCTCACAAACCTCAGTAATGACGAACTTGATAAAATTATGAACGACGATGAACAAATTGAAAATATTTTAGCAGGACTAGACCAGGTTTGTATTTGTTACACCCTTTCACACCTAATTAATGTGTTGCAGTCATATCTTAAAGAAATCGAAAGTAAAAAAGAAAAATTGTTGTCAGATAATAGCACATTAGCTGAAGACAATCTGTCTCGAGAACCTGAGTTAGTGGAAGGTCGTGAAAAGCTGCAACAGTTAAGTGAAGAAGCCGAAGAGTTGTCAAAAAAAGTTGAAGAAAAAGTGAAACAACTGAGTATGTTGAAATGATTTGTAGACAGTCATAATTTATATCATTGTAGAGGGTAAAACGGGAGATATGTCACTTGAAACGTCTCTGGCTTTACTGCAGACTGCAGCCAGTGAAATGGAAGAAGAAACGGACAAATTAGTAAAGAAGTTTTTGGACAACGAAGTTGAATTGGAGAGTTTTCTAGAGGAATTTCTGTCAAAACGTAAAATTGTGCATTTAAGGCTAATCAAAGCTGAAAAATTATCAAAGATCTTGTCAAGGGACCCATCTCTGGATACCTACATGAACGCACCCCCTGTTAACATAAACACAAATTACTTCCCAGGAGTACCAGCTCCTCAAGGTGTCCCTTACCCAATCGGACCCATCGGTATGCCAATGCCAGGCATGAATTATTTTCAAAACCACTAACCTTCAAATGTGATAATTAAGTACACTTCTTTGTTTTTTCCACAAGAATAATTTTATTAATAAATTAAACTATATACATTATTTACATTAATCTGACTTGGGTGTTACTATAATATTACTCCCAAAAACTGACACCCGTTGTGGATTATCATAGTCTTCTCTACCATAAAATAAATAGGCAGCCATCAAAACAAATAGCCCTACTAAAAATACAACTTTTTCTTGTTTAATATCTTCAACGTTTCGTTGTTCTTGCATTTTTTTCATGCGCTCTTTTTCTTTAAACTTCAAACTTTTTTGGAAAGTCGCCCCATAATGTGCCTTTGACCATTCATCAAAGTCATAGACTGTAGTCCTCCCATATGGTGCAGGGGGTCTTGATTTTGTGTCCCTTGACTGATAAAACTTGTGTAATGGGATATCATCAGAAGTACCAATATGTGAAATCAAAAGACCTCCGATTTGGTTATTAAGTCACTTTGTAGAAACTAAAGAGATATTGTACCTTTGTCGTAGAGTTTTCGTGTTCTCACATTCCCGAGGACTTCATAAGCTTGGGTAATGTCGCGAAATTTGGTAGCTGCTTCATCGCGGTCTTTACTTTTGTCTGGATGATGAAGCATGGACAGTTTGTAATATGCAGATTTTATATCAGCTTGAGTTGCTTTAGGGGTGATTCCAAGGGTGTCATAGTGGTTCCGGCCGTTGAGTCTGGCATGCGTGTAGAGCTGTCGCATTTGGCTTTCGATTTTTTGAAGAAATTTTGTGGGACTGTACATTTTGAGGTTATGTCCACTGGAGAGATTTATAGAAGTTCCATTGTCCCTAGGTGTGAGAGAAACTAAATTTTTGCACGTTCTTAATGACTGTTAGTAGTTATTACATCACTACTTACGTTTTTGTATAAATTTCCGATGATCAAGGTTATTAATTTAATAAACTGTCATCTGTCACTTGTCATTCTTTTACTAAATCATGATTGGTTGAAATTGATACTTCGCTAGAACACAAAAATCTGGCAGTTTATTAGTTTCGAGGCAACATTTCCAACAAAAAAACAAAATACATGACACATGTCATTTAAAACCGTAAACTCTCCTTGAGATTGCCTCTAGAATAATTTCTCTTCGTTGACAATCGTTGAAAAATTACCAGTGTTTAAATCTAGTTCTAAACGATGCGGTAAATTGGCCACCCTGCTCCGTCCTGTCAAAATCTCCCAGCGCATGTCCCTGGAAATCAAACATGGCCGGTCGTAGCGGTTATGATGATAGAGACAACAGGTAAATATAAATTTTTTGCAAAGTATGAGTGAGATTGGTGTTGCAGAACACTGGGGGATGTTAGCGGTGATTGGATGCACATTCACGATAAAAAATCGTGGGTGGTTAACGTCCAATCTGATTTTTAGCCCTTGTGCACGACGTGAATCACACGCGGTTTGTTTTGCAGGGATTTCGGCGGCAGAGGTCGCGAAAACCAGCGGGCGTCCAAAAAGCCTTTTCCAACCGAGCCGCCGTTCACAGCTTACATTGGGAATTTGCCGTATGGAATCGTGCAGGGGGATGTCAATCGCATTTTTGAGAACCTCAACGTGAAGAACGTGAGGCTGGTTATGGACAAGGAAACTGACCGTTTTAAGGTAAAGTGTGAGGTGTTGATGGCTCTGTAGGGGCTCACTGGGCTGGCGATGTCTGAAAGGGTAAATTGAGGCGATCGGGTGCTGTTGTCTTCGACATCGTGGAACATTTGATGTGTAGTATGAGTGTTTCCCTGTGGAGACAATTTGCTGATATATTTGTTATTTAGTAATTGCGTAATGTCTGCGACATCACTTGTGTTAAAACAATTCCCTAAAATTTACAAGAGATGACTATAATTTTAGTAAAAATTTTCAAAGGTGGGGTCATATTTTTGTGTAACTTCTAAAGTAAAGTCAGCTATGGTTTTCTTCCCATTTTGTGTACTTTGTACTGAAGCAAGTAGTTTTCATTTTATTTATTACCAAGGAAGTTACAGGAAGCATGTAACTTCTATTTTTAAAGGGAGGGTGTTAGTTCATCACATCAACCAATCACAGTGGGATGTTTGGACAAGGCGGGGTATAACTGAATTAATTGGAAGCTGAATATCTAATTACAAAAACTGCATTCTGTATGGTACTGTTACATTAATTATATGTGCCAGTTGGAAAATTTATCAAGTAACGTAGATTTGACATGTGGTGTAGGAAGTGGCATATCAATTTTTTTAATATTCTGTAACAAGTTTTATAGTGCAAGTAATCGTTTTTACAATTTTTAATATTTAATTGTTGTCATTTTATTTGTGATTCAGGCCATTATTGCTCAAACAACTTGCATGGTATGGATCCTCGTTAGTATGTGACACGTGACGATTATATGAAGGGAAATAGTGTGCATTACAGATTCACTCAAATCAATAATAAATAAATGAAATTATTCCATAATGTTAAAAGTGAACAGTCATATTTTATCACTGTACACAATTCTTACAGACAATTCAGTTAAATTGCAAATTTCAGCTGTGACTGCAGTTTATCGTTTTTAATCGAATTAAGATCTACTAGACTGTTTATTTAATATTGAAGCTAAAAAGTTTTATTGATAAAAAAAAAATAGTGTTTTTACAATACTTTTTTGACTTTCAATGGTATACTACAAAGATTGCTCTTGATTCACAACACGAATTCGTAATTCAGTTGTTTTGAGGGCGGAAATCCACCCTTATCGTTAATAGACAAAATACGGAACGCATGCGCGGCCGACTTTAAGCCACACCTACTTTAACTCATAACTTGTTACTTTCCCATTGCACTTAATTTTCCCCTAGATCTTAGCTGATTAAAACTACTGTCAGTTTATGTAACACGACCACAAATAACACAACAATAGTTATTACAAAAATCAAAAGCGGCTTTGTTAGTATACACTAGAATAATTGACAATGCCGAAGTGGGCTGTTACACATTTTGTTTATTTTGTTTATGGTTACTTAATTGCCAACAGAAAAATCCAAGTAGGCAATTTACAAAGTAATTTAGACCTAAAACTAATGAGACATAGTTAATAAAAATTAATCTAATTTAAACAATGCAGATTGTACCTTAAAAACAAACAGAAATAATAAAACTCAATAAATATGATTATAGGATATATACATTGTCGTAAGTCTGTAAGAAAGGTAACGGTTTAATGACAAGCAGGTTTACCAACTACACACTAACACCCCACGGGCGTGAACAAAGAGTGTACGGGCACAAGTAGACCGTTCGCTTTATAAACGTTAAAAAAAATAGGACGCCAGCCGGAGGCGGGCCTTGGTTCTTCCAATTGAAAATACAACACTTGTGATGGTAATTTATGTTTTTTCTATGGAATTATTGTCGTAAATCGAGAGTACCCGTTAAGATCAACATACGTTAAGTGGAATTGTGTCGATTTTAGTTGTTTTATTAAAAATAAAAGTCCCGGTTTAGATATTTCTTAAGTATGATGAAACAATTTGTAGGTTAGACGATCGTGAATTCTTAGCATTAAATGTCTGTTCATAGTTCTTCGATTTGAACACTCCTTACACTACAGAAACAGCACAAGTTACATACCCTCAACAACGAAGAATTGAACACAAATTCTACGTATTTTAGACAAAAATAATAAAACAAAGATTGACACTTTACTGTCTATTCTCTAACTGCTATTCACTTCACTTTGAAAGCGAGGAGTGAGGGACCAACCTTTACATTTAACACTTTACCTTCTACTCTAAATTTTTCTAGATTCTCAAAGATGTCTAGAAATTACTGTTGTTAACTTGACTACCGTTAAGTTTCATCGATCATGATTATTCTAAAAATACAGTGCGGAACACCTAATTGCCAGTCGCTTGTCCAATGTTTTAACAGTTAGCTGATTGAAGAAGCAATTGAAAATGTGGCCAAAAATATTTCCTCCGACTTTTTTTAAAATGATTCAGAGAAATACTTGGTAAAGTTAAAATTAATTATATTTTTATCTACAATTATTAAGTACCGTCTGTAGACTTTTTGAAGTTCTTACCGCACAGCCCAAAACGTAGTACCATTTATTCTGCTATGGGGAATCTGAGTGAAAAATTGTAGTGGTTATGGATAACGTTTCTTTTAATATTATTTGTCTTTCATCTTTCGTGATTAATTTGTTTCTGCAAGACGCTAAAAATGTAACAATTAAAGTATGCTATATTAGTATTCATGTATCTACATAATTGTTAATTACGTTCACAGCCAACAACACAACAGGTTTTACCACTTTAATATGTTTTTATTTTTGCAAACGAACATGTATAAGCAAAATATTTCTACAGTAACAGATAATTTACATTACGAAAGTACTGAACTGATTGTTGTAAATTTATGTGTATTTTAGGAATACTGTGTAGATTACTGTAGATGGTGAAATTCTAAGAAAAATTTGTCTGGTTATCCCCAGTAATAATTTGATGACATCGTCTCAAATTGTGCGAAGGAAATTGTATAACATTTTATAATTTAACTTAGAAACTCCAAACCGAATAATTTCAAAAGTTTACTATTTTTAGAGTTTTTCTTATCTAAAGGAGGGTTATCGTAAAAAGACATTTGATTGTACTTCAGGGATGCGGGAAGTTCTGTCTAAAAAAGTTTGGATCAATTTTTTGTAAGTTAATCTCGTACTTTAGGCTTACATTGAAATTAAATAATTTACAAAAAATTATAATATCGTAAAAAATATTTATTTTATACTGTGTCAAATTCCAATACTGTACGTCACGCGGTTCAGTCCGGGAAAACCAGAGATATGGAGAGGGAGAATGAGCTTCCCCATGCGCAGACGAAATCCTTGGTCTAAAATTGAAAGCAGCCATTTTATCAGTTGACTGTTGCCAACATAATCACAAATCACTAACAGAACTTGATATCCCTAGACAATTGCTTCATTATTGGGCGGGAAGTTTAAAATCATTAATTACAATCACCTAATAATAAATCACAACTAAAATATATTTCACCTTATACGAATAAATAAACATAATTATACTTCAATATATTTATTGATGCGAAAACAGTACTAATTATGTGTACACATGTCTAACAGAAGTGCCTTGAGCAAGACATGAAAGTCTTTTGCTCAAATTAAACATTCTTATTCGCATGTAGGCATTAATTATTTGTTTAATAAGAATATATAAATGGCCTTCATCGATGGCCACCGTCTCGAGTGCGTGGGTCTTCTAAATTAGGAAAAAGAATGCTGGCATGCCGAAAGTTTTAAAAAATTGTTCATCGCTTGGAAGTTTATCAGTGAGTTGCAAAATTTTTCGTATTAACAGTAACAACAAGTCTTCACAACCCCAGCAAAAGGTTTAATAAGCCCACCTAAAATCAAAATTTTGTTAAGACTTAAAAAATAACTATTGTAAGTATTTTATTTTACCCATGTTTTTTTTGTCCAATAATCTGTAAAACTGTAAGTCACTTCCTCGTGTTTCAATGCAAGAAGAAATGCAGTCTGCGCACTTAAACGTCTTCACCAGCATTTTGACAACATAGCTACCAATATATGCCACGTTTTCTGCCACTTCACTCAGCCCAATAAAATTAGACGTTCATAGTCATGATCTGCAAGTGCTTCAGTCAAAATATCGAGATCATATTTTTTCAAGACAAACACGTCAACTGATTGTTGAACATTTGTGCTCTTTTGCTTTGGGCCAATGCTAACAGAGAGCAGACAGGTGGTGCAAAGCACTTTACAATTTCCTCCTTCCCTCGTTATGTTTGTAAATAGAAGCAATCTTCTAAGTTTTACAAAATCGTAGAGGAGTAGGGTTATTGTTTCACCCATTTCTCGATCTGAAAACAGAAAAATAAATACAGATTTGTGTAATTCCAGTGCATAAAAAAGTAATACAATTGTTTTTTTAAAAGCTTACCGCACTGAGCAGAAGAAAATTTCTAGATGATCTTGACTACATTTATGTTAGCAAGTCATTCAACCTCTTACTACTAACAAATTCATCAAAAATTCCCATGAACGACGTAGCGGAAATAACAAAGCCCAGAATTGACGTTTTTCGGGGCGTGCACCACAAAGGCCCGCCAGTGACATCCTTCAAATTCAGAAGATACTCACTGGTGTCGATGAGAAATGGACGCCACATTTCTTCATTGTTTTCTCTCAAAGGTGCCTTAAAATTCTTAGCACGTACACTTCGGGAATTGAGAATATCAAATAAAGAATCTATCCGTCTGATGAATTCTATTGTTGTTTGACAACCTTGAAAGTCACTAATACCAAGATCTTTTAAAAATTCAAGTGCATCCGCAACTCTTGCTAAGAGTTTGTGCTGCTAAACTCACCTATAATAGAACTTAATTATTGTCAATAAGGAATATTGTCAGGAAAACAACTTACTTTCATTTTATGTTTCCATCACTCCAAATGTGCCTTTTTCAACTTGTTTGCAACATTTAGGAATTCATCATTTTGTAATTCATGTAGTTTCTTTATGTAACGCCAGCTTATCACCTTCCCTCCTGTCAGAACTACTTTTTGAGTTCTTGCTTTTACTTCCACTTGTACTGCTACTGCTTTTTCCATGGTATCTCTGCGCAGCACTAAATAATAATTATTAACAGTAGTAAAAAATTCAATATAATAAAATATTCAAACCTTAATGTCCTCTTTACACCTTGAGGTATAATCGATGGAGACTCTTCTCAAATATCAGCTGAAGTAGCACTCACAGTACTCATTGAAGTTGAAGAAGCTTCTAGACTTTCATCTAAATTCACCCTGGGAATTGCGTTCGATTTCAATCGTTTTCTCTCATTTACAACAATGAAATCAGTTGTTGTGAAATGATCTGAGCACACCAGCTTATACTTAGTCAGTTTGAAGCTGTCATCTTTTTTCACAACAATCAGCCACTTTTTTAAAAGTTTTCGATCTTTCGGAAACCTAAAATCAGATATAATAAATATTGATCACATAGTATTGCAATAACCAATTGTTATTAATTATAAATATCTACGTATTCGATTTTAATAAGATAATGAAGAAAACTTACTGATGAAAAGATACACCTTCTGAACGAAATCGTTGACAATTTTTACAGTGAGAAACTGTACAAGACATGTTTGTTGTCAATAATAATGTCCTTTAACACTAACAAGCACGTTCACACGTACACTAACGGTAAAACAAATTAAGTAATAATTTTAACTCCAAATTACAACTGGTTCAACAACGTCGTAACCTCGTAGGTAAACAAAACTTTAAGGTTAACTGATAAAATGGCGGCCCCCATAGTGTACCGATGCGCAGAAGTCGAAGCTCATTCTCCTTCTCCATATCTCTGGGGAAAACGCAAAAAAGGACAAGTCTTGTAGTATTGCTATGACTATTGAGGGCCGGTCGCATAAACGCAAATCAAATTTAATCTCTGATTAACTCCATAGTAACGATTGTTATTATTATAGTTACAATTGTTCTTAATCAGAGATTAAATTTAATTTGCGTTTATGCAACCGGCCCTCAATGTTTTAATATGCATTGAAATACACTATTCAACATTTCTTAAAAGTCCGTTGCTAGGATTGCCACAAAAAGCGGACAAGATTAATTATGTTTTTGTCAGATAGGTAATTGTCAAAATATTTTATTGTAAAATTTGCTGCTCGGCAGTACCAAATTATTGTATTCTCATCCAAATTACACACCCTTGCAAAGTTTCAAATCGATAGGATAATTAGGAGTAGGTAAAAATCGACTTCCTAGATTTGTGTACATGGTTTGTTACAAATGCAGCTAAAGGGTGTTAAAAAAAGGAAAAAAAATGGTAATCTGGTTTAGTACTGCAGATAATAATTTAAGACCAATGAATTTGTAAAGTTTCGTTTAAAATGTGAAACTAATAGCCGACACTGGAATTGAGAAAATTTTGAAACTTCCACCACGCACTTAAGTGTCAAACAGAGTGACACAAGTGACTGATATAATGTGGATATGAAGTTTACTTGACATATAACTGACGCTATGGTCTTAACCTAAACTTTTTGTCAAATTAAATTGTGGCTAAACTATCGTAAAAGACGTTTCTTTGTCGTTAAGTTTTGTCTGTGACTTTAGCTAAATTAACGCCAGACCTGACGCTAACCTAACGAAAAAATATCTTGGCACACTGCTTATTTAAAACAATCGTGAATGAGAACGTCATATAAAGTATTACTGCGTCAATTTTTTCAATGCCAGCGGAAATCAGGTCTAGTGGCTTTAATACGTTTAAAAACACTTATAAAATTTTGGGGAATGATTTATTTTTAATTTAGGTGTTCCCTAATTTATGTTATTTTTTTAAGACGAGTGTAAAATTTTGTAAATTTATAACAGCATATTAAAATTGCTATTTTTATTTTTATAAAATGTATCCAAATTTGTCACCTCACAATCACTTGCACACATTGGAATCGTAAAATCGTAAAATTATATTAAACTACCACTTCGTGGATGGGTGGCCAAGATCGCCATACCTATATGAGCGGCTCGATGCGTCTCCCCCCTCGACACCCAATGGGTAAAAGAGGGAACAGATAATATACCGGGTGTCCCACGTAACACTTTCGGGGCAATAACTCAGGTATTTTTTAAGATATTTTTATGAACTTTAAAACGGGTGTAATATGTATAATAGGTAAAGATTAGGCTGATAACAAAAAAACTATTTCATCGTACAAAAACGAATTTTAACACAGCTTCCTGTTGTTAAAAATTATTCAAAATTGCGGTATAACTTTAAGCAACTAAAATAAAGCCTGTGCGCGAAAAATTAATTAAATCACTGTTTTTGTTTAAAAGAATTACGTTAACAAAAACGCAAAAATTAATTAATTTGATTTTTTAAATTTAATAGTGCTGTGGGTGCAAAACAATTGCCTGCGTCACCGAGTTCAATTTTGTACACCCCTGACATTTTTGTCAAAATCTGACAAGTTATTGAAAATGGTGCGCTTTTCTTTAATTTTTAAAACAGAAACAATTTTAACCTGCGGAGAATGCCGTACAGACCTAGATGAAACAATCAGGACTCTTATCGAACGGTATCCCGATGACGAATTTACCAAATTCGAAGTACAGAGAATAATAAACTTATTTGAAGATACGGGAAGTGTACAAGACCTAAAACGAGTGAAAAAAACAAGATGCTAAATACACCTAGCAAAATTATTTCCATTCAAGTTAGAATTAATTCCTGAACCTAAAGCAATTTTGCACCTTCGAAAAGGTTGAAGCCGAGCAACTGAAAATTAGTATTTTCTTAAAATTCATAAAATAACGCTTGGCAAACAGGTATCAAATTCCCCCAAGGGTGTCCAAAATGCGAGGAATGCAGTTGTTTGTTTCATAGTTACCTATCCATTAATACTTTTTGAAATTATTTGCGCAATAATTTATCGTTTTTTGTCTAACCAGACGTATTTCGGAGATGAATTTTTGCATACAGTATTTATTTTTCATGTGTAATCAAGTGATGCAAAACGTAATTAATTCAAAATTAAATTAAGGCATGGAAAATTTACTTTATAAAAGATAATTATTATTCTCACCGGTTCATATTAATCCTCACCTATCAAAATACCTACATTTCAAATTTCATAACAATCCGTTCAAAAATACCTGAGTTATTGCACCCGAAAGTGTTACGTGGGACACCCGGTATATACTATTAATCGTTACATTTTTACAGATTTTGACGAATCTGAGACACCTAAATTTTGTTGAAATGAGTCGATCTAGTCGATTATTTTTTCATGAAAATAATTTTATTGGATCTATTTTTGAAAAGCACTGTTAGATAGAGTAAATAAATAATCGGGTACTGTTGTACAGAAGCTAGCCCTAAAATTTTCAGAAAACGCTGTGTAAATAAAATGTAGTAAGAGCTTGAAACTTCTAATAAAAAATCCTGCTCCTATATAAATATAATTTTCTCTAAACTGTTAGCCTGAAAAATTCTGTATAAACTAAATATAATATTTCCACATTCATAAAATTTTTATCTCTTACCTCCTTCAGGGATTTTGCTATGTCGAATTTTGCTCGCTCCAAGATCTAGAAGAAGCAATTGCCATGAACGGTTTGGTCGAAGTCGAAGGCCATAACATCAAAATAGATGTAGCAGAAGGTAAACGTAGCGAAAGAGGCGGCGGATTCGACCGAGGTGGTCGCGGGGGCAGAGGAGGCGGCGGTGGTTTCAGAGGTCCACGGCCTGGCGGCGGCGATCATCGTTTTGAAGAATTCGAGAGGCGAGGAGGTGGCGGTGGAGGAGGACAAGGAGGTGGGGGAGGAGGAGGAGGTGGAGGAGGAAGCGGCGGAGGCGGCGGAGGCGCAGGCGGCGGCAGTGGTCGTGGAGGTTCCTTCAACGGTGAGTGACAGTTGCGCGGACGTAGGGTCTATTTGATGGTAGAATATGACAACAACGTCGCAATTAGGACTACGAAAAAGTCTGTATAAATGTTATAACGGATCTATAGCGCGTAAAAACATAAAACTTCAATCGCTGCTGCTGCAACCAAGTACCAATTCAATTTATCTTAGTGTTTCGTTCTATATAACGATATCATTTATTCAGTATTTAGTGTTCTGTTCATTTAAATTTAGCGGTAGTAAACTGATACGTTTTTGTTGTAACATTAAACAATTCTACCATTCTACAATGACTTTTTGAAATTTTTTAACCCATAAATTCTAAGTATATAACAACCAAGGAGAAACGTGAACAATGAAATAAACCATTAATGTAATTTTACAAGCGTTTTCCTGTTGGATGTCTAGCAGAATAATGCTTGAAAATAGGCTTGAAGAGAACATCGCTTCAAGACAAGAACGAACAGAAAGAGAAATGGATTTGAATAACGATTGTAAATCGACAAAATCTGTTCTTCCGATTATGTTAAATAGAAAAAAACAGAATTCATGAAAGTTAATCCCAGTGTTGCTATTTTTGAATTGGTGCACATAAAACAGATGTTCATTAAATGTTAAAAATTGGCTGATTAATTATTATATAATGGAGATCTTTTGAGATGAATATCTTATTGTTGAGTGTATTTTTTTACTGCGTTCTCAAACACTTGACGACATCCTAGAAATCACTTTGAAGCCAGGATGGAATAAGTTGTAATGATACGCATTTAGGGAGATCTATACATCCAATAGCTATTCCCACGGAAAAATTCGTAGTATATTATATTATAAAAGGTCTATTATGTAATAACATGATAAGGATTGACTGAAAACAGGGAATTTTAAAACAGGAATCAAAAGTTAAAATTATGCCTGTCGTAGAAATCCTATGGTCGTTTATTAATGTGTCATACAAAGTATATCACTGGCTGACGACTAAAAAGCCTAAAACTGCTGTATAACGCAGCCATGAGGTTAGTTGTACGTTCCTAGACTTGTAGATGTGTGAATAATATACCACATCACCTCATACATCTAATGCCTCTATTAGACAATTACTAGAGAAATTGGACTCGCACAACATTTCTGATTCTTCCCTTAACTAGTGGCGCATGTTTCTTGGAGGAATTGGACACCCATAGCCCTACCAAATTTATATGACTGATAATACCCAAATTGGTTATTAACTCCACAAATCTTTCAATTCTTTAACCAAAATGGGCGGTGAAAATTTTTACCAAACAGATCTTAATTTGTGTACTTCGTTGACGTAATTGAATAATAAATTGTTGAATATATAAGTACAGAGTCAACAAATTCCATTTTTTAACGTATTTTGGTAGAGATGATATACCTTACATATTTACTTCATTTTCAGTTGATAAAAGAAATGCAATTTATTAACATAAAAAAAAATAATGAAAATTTTATAAGCAACAAGGTCTGTTTCAAAAGCAGCTATTTTAGCATATGTTCGAACATTCGTAAACTGGTGGTAGCCCTAAAGGGCTACCTAAAACTAAAGTTGACTCAACCTTCATTTTTTATGTTATAAATATATTTGATTTTATCAGCTGAAAATGAAATAAATATGTAAGTGTTGTATATCATTCTAATAGCAATTTAACGGTCAATGAAAATCCGTCAAAACATGTTGGTCATACATTGACCGCCAAAAAAACCGGCCACCCTGAAAAATTTCACAAAACCACTTTAAAAATTATTAAATTAACTAGTAATCGTTATTTTATTAAAGAACCATTCACTTTTGACACTTGTTGTACAAATGAGCAAAAAAAGAAGACATATAAACGCAGAATTAAATTTAATTTAACAAAATAACAGAAACAAACCAAGTACGATATTTTCTTAATTAACACAATAAAGGAGGCTGTTGTTGTAAACAGTGTTTTTCATCATTTGATTATAAGTTTGGCAGTTAATTAGTTTTCATCCGAAAACAATGCCGTTAACTCTTAGAGACGTCTCTCAAATTGTCCTTCTGTTTCTGTTATTTGCTTAAATTAAATTTAATTCTGCGTTTATTTGTCTTCTTTTTTTGCTAATTTATACGTCATGTGTCAATAGTGAAAGGTTCTTTAAGAAAATAACGATCACTAGTTAAATTAATAATTTTTAAAGTTTGATTTTGGGAAATTTTTCAGTATAGCCGGTTTTTTTTGCCGATCAGTGTATTTGCAACGTAATAAATTAAGCTTTCCGCCTCAAGCTAAAAATATTGGCGTTTACAGAATTTCAATATCTATCCGTAAGACATAAGGTCGCGAAGTTTTAACTGGAACAGCCTGTATAAAAATATTTGATGATTCTGTGTCGCCCAAAGACACTGGTATTCTAAAGAGTTGAAATGAAATCATCGAATCAAATGACTCCGGAAGGATCTTTTTGCCTGTGAAAAATGTTTACTCTATTCCACAGTTGTCACATTTTGATGTATGTTGTGTTTTGAAAAGTCAATTTTTAACTTATATATAAGTGAAACCCGCAGTCTTGAAAAACACAGGCACAACATAAATCTGTATAAGTACTACAATGTATCGACCTATAACGAAATAAAACTATACATATAAAAACACTGAAGAATCATATTATAATTATTTAGGTGGACTTTGCTGTATTGAATGTTTTTTCCTCGATTGCATCTCTTAAAGTTCGTAGTCTACAACTGACAAGGAAATAAGGAAAATTGAGAAACGTGAGAAAATTAACCAGGAAAATAATGTTTCAAAATAATGCTATGAGTAGAGCCAGTGATTTTTTGAAGAAGAAACGAAATAAGCTCACATGCGTATGGAAACGTTGATGCGAACACCACCATAGTAAAACGATATTGTAAAGGGAAAATATTGTAGGAAGAACACCAGTAAAACATCGCAGATGCAAAAGCGTCCATACTCAAATTTAGAGGAAGGGAAGTTTACTGGTCGTACCGTCAACAGCGTCTTTCGTGATTTATGAACGTTTTTCGTAGTTCAAATCAGTTCACTACTAAAGGCAAAAATATGCTTTTAAAATGCCGCAATTTTAGAATGGTACACCAACTGGTCAAAGTCTTAAGTGACAAGTTGTGACGCCTCAACATCTTCTTTCTTCCCATAGGATGTATTTCTATTCTACATCACACGATGAAATGAGAAAACTGACTTTCACTAATAGCAAAACAACAGAAAAATCTTCAAATCTAACATCTAGATGCCGGTTTTGTACCAGAATCCAACATTATTTAACTAACACTTGTTAAATGCAGCGCTATTGAACTCAAAGCTCAATGACCGGCAATTTATCGCGACTGAAGTCATATTCTCCTATTTTCCTGGATGGACTGGACCATCCGTAATCTAAATATTTTGTTGTGTTTTGTAGCGGATCGAGGAGGTAATAGAGGGAATTACGGCAACTTCTCATCGGAAGAGGGCAATCGGGAGTGGACCGCCCGAGGAAATCGCGGCAACAATGGAGGATTTGGCGGTAGGCCGCGTCAAGAGAGGAGATCGTTTACTGAGGATCTACCAAATCCAACTCCAGGTTATATTTTCGTATATAAAATTATAAAAGCAACATTTGTGGCACGTGGTTCTGTTTAAAGGGAGTTCACAGTGTTCCGAGAGTATAACTGAATTGCACAAATATTTCTCAGTTGTTTTTATTGTGCTCAATTGGGATTGCACGCAGCCGTTGCTAGACGATACACACAGTGTCATTATTAATTCAATGGCACTGTGGGTATATTCAAATATTAGGTAACCTTTATAAAATAACATACTCCCACACTTGTGATTTATGAATCGGTCTTAATTTTTTTCCCAAGATTTTCGCGGAAAAAACGAACTTATGTAGTAATATTTAATTTGCAACTAAAAAACCAAATGCTCCAAAATCTTGCAGAAGTTTTAAGGTTATCATAAGCATGGTAAATAGTTAATCAAAATTTATCCATTTATGTTTCCCCAAATTGATGTCATCTCAAAATTTTATCAAATAAATTCAATCTAAAATGTGCAGAACATGAGTTTATAGTAAAGTTTTCATACTTAGCATTCATAGTTTTTACAATTGCTTTTTATTGATCAGTTCAAGAACGGATTACCCCATTCTCCAGCAAATTTGGGAATACAGTACTGTTACAATTAGTCTTACACTGCACGTATCCAAATTGATATACTTGACATTACATTGCAAAAACAATAAAAATAATGTCACCCGTTTGAAGTTCATACATTTCTCGTCATGGCTACCAATCTTACCGACCTAAATTACAGCAGACCTATTTCAGAACCCCTTTCCGTTATTAATGAACCGTTATGACGTCATTCGGGTACTTTAATAGCTCTATTAGAAAATCAAAAAACGTGCGCGGTAGAAAAAATAGAGGTTCTGAAATAGATCTGATAAATGTCAGCGGCAAATGTCAAATTAAAATTTCCCGTATTTCGGGAGGCGTAAGGACTTCACTAACTTCTTCACAAGACATTTTAACCAATTTTAACACGAATTGATTCGAATTACAGTTGTTGTTGTGAAAATTCGAATTTCAAATATTTCGTGGTTCGTGTCAGACCAACCCATCACCAACCACGACAAAATTCTCCAGATTTAAAAAAACGCAAATTTCAATTAAATTTTGCGAAAAAACGTGCGGAGTAGAAAAAATAGTATAAATAACTCGTTCATAAGGCCATTGTGGCACGAATCCAAGTTTATAGAACGAGCGGCGAAGCCGCATGTTATATAAGGGATGAGTCAAGCTTCAAGAATCTGTGGCTAAAGGTTTTACGGACTAGCGGTTGAGATTCCTTAAATTTTAGGTTGTAAAATGTCATTATTATATAAAAATAGGTACCTTGCATTACTTTTACGCTACCTTTGATTGTTAAATCTGTTTTGGTATTATTATTTGTACCTTACCTTGGCTTTTTGTTGTTCACGTGAAAGTCAGTAATGTTGTTGACGTGGTTGCAAAGGAGATAAGAACATGTGACGATAAGTTATCATTGCTGTGATGGCCTGTTACTGCCCTATTTGAGTCAATAAAATCAGTTGGCGCAACAACAGTTCATATTTCTTTATTGTCATCATATATTTGTATTTTGGTGATATTACTTGCGTTAAATTAAAAAATCATGACAAATTTGTGAACATATAATCACCCATTGAAATTGTGGACGAGAATCATTAATTTTAATATTGTTAATAAATATGCCTTGATGTGTTGTTTATTAAAACAATGTTTATCACCAATTAAGTTTAATGCTTGTGTGGGTAAACAGTTGATTGTTGAGGGGACGATTTTTTCATCTTACGTTTGTTTCCAGACACCACAGGAAGGCCGAAACTGAAGCTGCAGCCTCGGACCGTCAAAGAACCAGTAAACGCAATGGCGGAAACGTCGCAAACGTCGACGATTTTTGGTGGCGCCAAACCGCGAGAGGAGAAATTACTTGATAAACAGTAAAATGTTTGTTGATTGTGTGTAATTTGATTTTTAAGATTAATGTTTATCTTTTTTTTTTCTTTCATATCTGAACTGATTCTTTTATATTAGGCGATTGTAACAGAAGTAATAAAAATTATAATTGGTTTTACTAAGTGGGATTTAAGAAATTCCAGCGTTCCGTTTGTTATGTTTAACTTGTAATATAGCCGGTTTGCTTTCTAATGCCGTTCATGTGAAGATTTTATAGTGTTGCATTTTATAACATAAATAAGACGGAGATTTTGGATTTTTGATCCCGATGGGTCGAGTTTTGTTGTAGGTACATACTAGTTTTGTTTATGTATTTGTAAGCCGATTTTTACAAAACATACCAACTAATTTATTTTATTATTATATAATAGGATTGTAATTTCAACTGTGTTTTTAAAACGTAAAGTGATGCAAATGATTGTTACTATTATTGTATTTATTATTTTTGTATAGGAGTTTCGGGTATGTTCTGGAAAAGTCTTTTCGTAAATACAAATCTTAATCATGTTAATAATACGAGCATTGTAAAAATGGTACTTCGTTGAACATTTTTTTTTTAATTACCAGATTTTTACAATGCTATGATGAGCATAAAATTTACACATATTGTGTAATATATGGTCTTGTATGATATATGAAAATAAATTGTGAATTTAAGTATAAATAGAATAATTCATTATTCACGTGCGATAATACCATTCGATCGAGAATTAAGCGAATTCGACTACTCCATGATTCCATTTGTACAGCTGGCACATCACTTCATTTTGAGTCTCAGAAATTAAAAACTTGCAGCAGAGCTCCACACATCCGTATTTTGCTATGGAAGAAGGAATATGAAATATTCAAGTGCGCCGTACCTCAGGAATGTAAACTTTTTAGCATTGATGCAAGTACCTTTTACTGTCCCTTTCAAACGACGGAAGGTTTAGCTCACGTAGTCACTAACAACTTCAACAAGCCAGTGGCGAACATTATCGTACGTATATTTATCTACCTTTATTTCCAACTTTTGTTCTTCACCTCGGAATTAGTGTGCACATTTTTTTCAGTGTTTGTTTCGAATCAACAATTTGGAAAATGGTTCGGTGTAAAGCGTGTAAAGTTACGAGTAATTATAAAAAAAAATGGCGTTTCCCAGATAGGATAACCAATTCTAACAAAGTTTTCGTTCAAAATGTCAATAATTTTACCCTTTTACTTTGCGAGTACAAAGAGACGGGGATGAATTCGTCACCGCGCCGACGCGATCGGAAAACCGCTATAAATCAAAAATTAAGTTTTTGGCAGATGTTTTAAGGTTATAAAGAGCATAATAAATGTTTAGTCAAAATATATTTGCTTATCCCCTCCAAAAACTTGATGACGTCAGCTCGAAAATTTGCCGAATAAATCATATCTAAAATGTACAAAATATGATCAGTCTGTACTTGTGATCTATCACTCCATTCATATTTTTGGATTTGCATATACAGGGTGATTCAAGAAAATAAATGAAAGCGTAAATTTATTTTACTGATTTACTCAGGAACTACAAAACCGAATGCTTCGAAATCTTGAAGATATTTTAAAATTATCATAAGCATGGTAAATTTTTGATCAAAATGTATTTGGTCGTGCCCCCTAAAAAATTTATGACGTCACCACAAAATTTTGCTGAATAAATCCTATCTAAAATGTACAAAATATGGTGAGTCTCTTCTTGTGATTTATCATTCCATTCAAATTTTTTCGATTTGCATATACAGGGTGACTCAAAAAAATTAATGAATGCGTAAATTTATTTTATTGATTTAATCAGGAACTACAAAACCAAATGCTTTGAAATCTTGCAGATGTTTTAAGGTTATAAAGAGCATAATAAATTTTTAGTCAAAATATATTTGGTTATCTTCTACAAAAAACTGATGACGTCAGCTCAAAAGTTTGCCGAATAAATCGTATCTAAATTGTATAAAATATGATGAGTCTGTACTTGTGATTTATCATTCCATTCATATTTTTGGATTTGCATATGCAAGGTGACTCAAAAAAATTAATGAAGGCGTGAATTTATTTTATCGATTTAATCAGGAATTACAAAACCGAATGCTTTGAAATCTTGGGAATATTTTAAAGTTATTATAAGCATGGTAAACTTTTGTTCAAAATGTATTTGTTCATCCCTCCTAAAAAAATTGATGACGTCACCCTTAAATTTTGCTGAATAAATCCTATCTAAAATGCAAAAAATATGATGAGTTTGTACTTGTGATATATCATTCCATTCATATTTTTTAGATTTTCTTAAGAGGTGGTTCAAAAAAATTAATGAAGTCAATTTATTTTATTGATTAAATTAAAGGCAACACTTATTATAAGTATTACACCCCAACCAACCCAATTTGGTAGACACAAAATTTGTTAAAGGAAAAACTCGGTTGAAACATAAGGGTAGCACGCTTATTTACATCGACTTTAACATTACAGACCTGCATTTGTTTTATGCCGTCACTTGGTTCCGCGAATGTGGAATAGACATGTTTATAATCAACCAATTGTGAATTTCACCGTCAAGAATTAAAATAAAACCCAATGTTTTATATAATAAGCGGAAGTCGAAGCAATAAAACCGATGGTCGTTTTGTTTACAGTTTTGACTCTCACGTATGCTGTTACGCTTGTCATCTTAAATTAAGAATGTTTATACATAAACGATTTTCAGTTGCCTTTCATATTACCAGACAGCGGATTTTTGTCGGGCTACGTCACGTTTAATCGGTACTAATTCCATAAAGATAATTAACGATTTATTAATCAAACGGCTAAGTAAATGAGAACGGGAATTAGCAGCAGAGTGCAACGAAACAGCTTTATTCTAATCTCAAATAAACGAAGTGCAGTCCGCAATCGCAATGAATTCGCATCCCGTACGAGCCGTACCGAGTTTGGCCTTGCCTAGCCCGACAGAAATCCGCTCTCTAGATATTACACACCGGCGCCGTATACCTGAGTAAATTGTTTCGTTATTTTATTGATTATAAGAAATCAATATTCAAAACGACCCAATTCATTTTCCCGAAAATTTGGGAATACAATAATTTTATTCTTAGTATTACACTACATCTATCCCAACTGATATACGTGTCCTTGCAAAAATGTTGATGACGTCATCACAATTTTTTTTTAAATTCCCACTACAAAAATGTAATGAGAAAAAAAAAACACAATAGGCATGCAGGGAAGTACTGTCTAAACTCTTTAAACCAATTTTTTTATGTTGCGAAAATGTGTTACACACAGCAATTTTAAAATACTCTTTGGGTGAATTTGCAACAATATTCGATAACTGCGTTTGTGTAGAAATTAACCTACGGATTCTGATGGTAACATCAGATACAGATAAATCATAACATCAGTGTCAGTTTATCAGTAGGTAACATAATCCACTAAATTTAGAGCAGAAAAAAGACAAATTTTGACGTTCTTAAAGTATTTAGCAGATAATTCCGCTTTTTATGAAAGTTGGTCTTCGTACATTTTTCTAATATGTAATTCAAACGAACGATTTTTTTTAATATTGCCTTGCCGCTCATTGGGTGCGCCCATTGTAGGGAATTGATAAAGCGAATAATGAAATTCCGTTTTTATATTATTACTTTCTCGTTCTTCGAGCGCTAAACCTCCTTTTGACTGAACAAGATCTTTGGGTTATCTACGCAAAGGATTACGAAAACGAGTTTTTACTTACGGTAAATGTGAAGTCCAGAATACTGGCACTTTTCTTAACGGTAAGTGACTGTCGGTGTTGGTCAAAAGGTTTTGAAATACGAAGCTCATCAGATTCTGGCAATTTTGCAAAAATTCTCAATTAGTTTCGAAACAGTTTTCGAACACGAATCTACCTGAGTGCCAGTGGCGGCTCCTCGGGGTGGGCAGGGTGGGCAATACCCACCCTATTTTGTTGTTTTTTCTTTTTTTAATTTTTTTACATGTAGACACAAATAATTATCGTCATAAACATCATTTAAACCAACCGATTTTTTCATTACATCCCGCAGTTTCCGCAACTGAGAAATTTCAGTTGAAAAAAAGTGCGTCAGATCTGGGCGTTATGCGATTCATGTGAGGATGGGCTAGTCTATCAATCTATCATGCTCCACCCTCTTGATTGTAAGCAACGACATACGTTCAGTTTTCTATGTACGGGATTGGAGTAAAGAATTCAAAACGCACGTTGCTGCATATCCGCGTTTTCTTACTTCACGCGGGGCCCGACGCCCTGCCGTCAATGTGTATCTCAAACGCTGCAGAGTCGGATTTCTGATATTCGATTCAAGCATTCAATAAATTAATTTCGATTTTTCTGCTCCTTTTGTATTGTAAAATTATAAGGTAATTATTTTTATTATTCTATTGAACTATGGGTAAGGTGCTAAGGAAAATGATGATTATGTGAAAATTCTTCAATACTATTGTTACAGAAAAGAGCAACACTATAATACTTAATTAATAAATACTTTTTCGAAGCTGTGTTTGTTCGACTGTAATTTCGGGGTGAGAAAGTTCTGCTCTCGCCCAAATTTTCTTTAGTTGTTTTATTTTACATTCATTGTTATTTTATTATAATTCAAGTTTGGTTATTTATTAATTATTTTTTTCGCAATGCCGACTTTACATAAATCACTTTCTCATATATTAGAAGTCCTTTGTTGGCATCTCTTTTGTCGAGCTTCTTTACTATAAGTATTGTAACAGGTCTTTAAGGTCGATATTTAGTTGTGCAGCATTCATTTGAAAAAAACTGATGCGTGCTACAAGTTCCTCAAAATACTTACTATTTGTTGTAAACTGTTGCTCGTTTGAGGAAAACATCCAAATTCATTATTGATAGGATTTCTATTCTTATAAAAACTGTTAGACTGAGCTGAAAATTTATTCACTCGCTGTAATTTAGTGACTTCTTCTCTGATTATTGCGCGGCATGTACTGTTTTCATCAGTGACGGCTCGTGTCCAAAAAACGTGGGTTGGCCAATGAATTTGTTGAAATTTTCATCTAATGTCGCAGCAAATTTTGCTAATTCCTTGTCTTGATTATCCGACCCACTTGTTTCGTCGTTACCTCGAAATGCCATCTTTTGTGTTGAGAAAAAAATAACTATATTAAATGTTTTAACATAATTCTGTTTTCTCGAACAGTTTCATTGTACTTATTTAAATATTCGCGTCTGGCACTATCCAACTAATTTTGCGATATTGTGTTTTCCGGACAATTTAAATTTTAGAGCCGAATGAATATGCTCCTTAGAAATTTCGTGTTTGGCCAGTGCACGATGAAATTCTTTTAAATCATCATAACCACTAGAATTATAAGGGTCCTTGAATTCCGAAAGTATTAATAAACAATACCAACAAAATAATTTGTTAGGTGTTTCGCTGCCAGTTAACCAAGGATATTTACCGTGGAGTGTTTTAGAAAATGCACGATTATGACCATACTTTGTTTGAATCAAATGGCTCATTAACGGTCGAGAAACAGTCAGTTGTTTCACACAAATTTTGTCGTCATAAATTAATTCTTTAAATTTATGTACCTATTCATAAATAAAGCAAAAGCCGTAGCTCGTAGATTACTACTGGTGATTTTTCAACGCATCGGCTGGCCGCCCTATCTATAACATTTGACTTAGTAAAATAGATTCTTTGCGGGATGAATTTAAACATTAAACAATGTCTTAATTATTAGAAATTAATAGTAATTATTTTTATTGGAGTTTTAACTCCTTTCTTTTCGTATTATTGAACACGTATACGACGCGCGCCGGTATCGGTGTCGGTGTCGATCTGAACTGAGCCTGAACAGAGTCTGAACATAGGCATGCAACGCCGCGCTATAGAAAGAGAGAGAGAGAGAAATAAACTATTTAATAAAATGTGTTCGTTTGACTGTTCTTGAACTTTAATTTTTTTATACAATATTATTATAATAATTAATTTTAATTATAATACTTCTGTATGATAAATAAAAAAAGTATATTTTATAATAAACAATAATTGACAATCATCATCATTAATCATCATTTTGTCGAAAAATACAAATGCAACATATTTTTGGTTTTTATTATTTCTTAAAAGAAAATTAATTACTTCGCCGCGTATACCTGTTTAACTTATATATGTTGATAACGCAGAGTTAAAACTCCAACCGTGCGTCCCTGGGTCGACGCACTCTTTTTCTTTTTTTATGTTTATTACTTTTTTAATTTTTATAAATTATTGTATATTTTACCGTATCAGTTTTTCAAAAATGCTAATAAAAACGATGGATTAAAAAAAATTGTTTTCTTATTTCTTAAATTATTTGGTACGGCCTGGCTGACCTTGCCGCCCCTGAGGAGCCGTTATTGGTTTTCATGAGCACGGACATCTGTTGAAAATTTCTTTCAGTTTAGTTACTTTTAATTTAAATAATAGTTCTTCTGTAGATTCTATTGATAAATTGGTACACTGATGAGGAATCGACAAGAGATAAGTTGTTACGTACATTTTGATAAAGGTTTCTTATAAAAAAAATGCTAGGTTGCCATTTACTAAAATATTTTATTTCACACATGTGGGGGGAGGGGTAACAAATATCCACACCTAGTGTAAAATCGAAGCACAGATTGACCAAACCAACGTAAAAACTTAGCAAAAATAGACTTATCACGTAATAACATAAAATAAAACCGTATAAAAAATAAAACAAACTTGTACAATACTCAAGCGTTTTACAACACGTATGGCAAATCGGGACCTTCCGGCTTGTATTTGGTGTTCCACTATACTAAAACTAAAATAAAAAAGTAAAAAGTAGAATTGGGAGTAGAAAAATACATGTAGAACTTTTTCACTATACCCTAAACTCTGAAACTTTACTGAAAAGCATTATTCATTTATTAAAATTGAACACTAACCGGTACTTAGACACGGTTTCATTTCTTAAAACAACATTAAAATACGAACAAAACTTGCTATTGGTAAACAATCGAATTCGTAGTCCTGAGCGATTTTTTTTGAGTTTTTCTTTTGAAGTAAATGCAGCCACGAGTATGGACTATTACAATATTATTATTTTTATGAAGAGAAGTGCGATATAAGATAACGGAGGCCAAAAACGCGCAAGTTTCAAATTTCGGGATTATTTTATTTGACAGCAGCTGTAACAGGTTGAGTAGATGCGCCAGGAATTTTTCCAAGAACTTTAGATAGGTTGACTCCGGTTAAGGCATTCACGGCAGGTGGTATTTGTCCTACTAACCGAGTTATTTCGGCAGTGGTTGCGTCAGGACCTCCTATTAAAACGATTTCCTCGGTTTTGGCCAGTGGGGCTGACACCTCGGCAGCGATCTGCGGCAGAAAAGATCACACATTCACAAACAGTAAACCTCAGCTGAAAATTCGACATTTAATTTTAATAATTACCGGTTGGGACACGAATCAATAGTATAAAAAAAAGCACAGGAATTCATTGACTACATTTACAATCGTACTTTTCAGAACTCAACACAAATAAAAAATTCAGTTATGACTCCTGATAACAATTAATAGTATTAATACAATACTCACCTTTGGTAAGGCATCTAGAACGAGAGACATAATGGCAGCATCTCCGTATTGCTTGTACACAGCAGCTTTTTGTCTCATGCGCTCAGCGTCGGCTTTCCCTACACTTGAAATGGCGGCAGCTTCGGCACTTCCGAGTAATTTTATTCGTTCACTGTCGGCTTTGGCGGTTTGTACAGTCTGAGTTCTGGAAAACACAGGAGAAATAGTAAGTCGTCCATCTGCTCGTGCTTCAGTTCATAACTTCCAAAACCAAACCTACCGTCTTCCTTCAGCCAACATTTGGACCTTGTAACTTTCAGCTTCAGCCGGCAAACGAACGGTAGCGTTAAGTTCCCTCTCCTTTCTGAGTACCTCTTGGGCTTCTACCTCGATCTGTTTCTTCCTTTCCACGACATCAATCTGGATTTCTTCGTTTCGTATCTTCTGACGTATCTTTGCAGCTTGTAATTCGTAGGCCAGTTGTGCTTCGGCTTTCTGAAATATCAGGATGGATCTTAAACGCATGATTTCATTTTGTTAGATTCAAATTGCAATTATTTTAAACATTTACTTGTAAACGTTACACGTTGTCGACGGAACAATCATTTCACATAAAGTTATTGGACAATCTGTTAGGGCACTTAGTATTTTAAATTTCTCATTCGACTGAAACGGATAGTAACAATTATGTTCTGTAAACTCTCGTTGAACCAGCAGACAAAAGGGTAAATAGTAAAGGGTGCCACCTAGTTATCTTTAAGAAGTATTTTTAAATGTTTCGCCAAGTGCCATGATAAGTTCATAATGTTCCTTACAAATATTTTTGTGAACATATCTTCCACTGTATAATTTACTCCATATTTTACAACTGGTATCTAGTTTTGAAGTAGTCTGAAGAGCCATCATTGGCTATAATTTTCGAAAAAAAAAAAAAAATAGTAAAGAAGTAACAATCGGGATACTCACGGCAGTGTTGATTTCTTGGTTGAAATTCGCCTTTTGCAGCTTAAACATCCTCGAATTATCTTCGATTTTCGTATCCGTCGAGTATTTGACGTCCATGGCCGATTTCTGGCACTCCGCTTCGCGGATTCCAGCGTCGCGATTGGCTTCCGCAACGCCGGCGTCTGCGTCACGTTTTACCATGGCTGTTTGGGCTTTTCCTAGCGATGTCAAGTATTGTACTTCGTCATAAACATCCTTGATGGTGAAAGAGAGGATCTCTATGCCCATCCGGCCTACGTCAGGTGCAGCTACTTCACGTACTAGAGCTGCGAATTGGTCCCGGTCGCGATACACTTCTTCTACGGTAAGAGTTCCTGCAGAAAGGAGAATGCCATTGTGTAAAATGTGGTAGTTTTACTGCAATATAGATGAGTTTAGATAGGACAATCTTAAAACACCAAATACATTAAAAAGTATATTGTTCGTGCTTTGTAAATGGCCTATTGATTTACATATCTGCAGTATTTGTCTTGCAAAAGGAACTGTAGGAAGACATAGTTTACTCACAGACTGTAATGATAATTGACGACTTGGCCAGCTCCAGAAACATGGTGATACGGTGTACATTGGTTTGTACCTGACCGGATTCATAAAGGTACTTGGATGTCACCAGATCAAACAATAGTAGAAAATGTATGGGGAAGAAACCGGTTAAAAAAGGAAAAAAATAGTACGATATGGAATGTGAATAAATGGTCCAACGAAGCACACAGATTGCAGTGGTTGAAATGAAAAAATTGACCCAAAGTTATTTCGACAGAACTTTCCTCGCTTTTGAAGTACAGGCTAACAAATACTGCTTCTCTGAAAAATTATAAAATTTGATTTTGCGGAATTTTATTTTTTCGTGGTAATCACTATGGAGTAAAAACAATATAGAAGGTACTAGTCACAGTGTAACAGAAAAAAAGAAGGTTTCACTTTCTTAAAACTACACTGACGGGCAAAAAAAAACCGGCCACCCTAAAAAAAATTGCGAAACCAAACTTTACATATTATTAATTTAATTAGTGATCGTTATTTTATTAAAGAACCATTCACTATTGACACATGATGTATAAATTAGTAAAAAAAAAATTAGTGCAATAAAAGCAGAATTAAATTTAATTTAACAAAATAACAGAAACAGAAACAGAGTGACAATTTGAGAGATATCTGGAATAGTTAAGGGCATTGTTTTCGCGTGAAAACGTTTATCAGCCTCCTTTATTTTTGGTAAATTAAATTTAATTCTGCGTTTATTTGTCTTCTTTTTTTTGCTAATTCGTACATCATGTGTCAATAATAAAATAACGATCACTAGTTGAAATAATATATTTTTTTAACGTTCGTTAAAAAAAGTGTAACATTTTTTTATTAATATTTGTTTATAGAAGATACGTTTATTTCATCGCACTAGAAGCGTGAAAAAACGTGTCGTAACGTGTCATTCTTTAGTGGAAGTAAAACATAGAAGCCTGCCGTTGCTATGATAATTCATCAACAAAAGTGGTTTATATTAATTTTCTGGGTGTGTTGTGGTAATTTGTGTGCTCGGACAATGGAATCGGACAGCGAAGAAGATTTCTCGTGCACCTCCGAAAAAATTGTCAAGACGGCAAATACAGCTTATCTATGTTCCAAAATAAAAAGTTTTTGAAGTTGGTGGGTGTTGAGTTTTGTTACGAACGCGAAAAAAATTTTGTATGCGACTCGTGAGTAAAGTGGCTTTTTTTTACTCAGCGGATTTGCGCACTCACCTTCGGCTCGTGAGGCAAATTTTCCTTCTCGTTGAAAAAAGATACACTTTACTCACTAGTTGCATAAATAACTATTAACACTACTGGATTTTTTCAGCAAAATTTTCGGGTGACGTCATCAATTTTTTAGAGGGGATGAGCAAATACATTTTGAACAAAAATTTACCATGCTTATGATAACTTTAAAACATCTCCAATATTTCAAAGCACTGGGTTTTGTAGTTCCTCAGTAAATCAATAAAATAAATTTACGCATTCATTAATTTTTTGAGTCACCCTGTATATGCAAATCCAAAAAATATGAATGGAATGATAAATTACAAGTATAGATTCATCTTATTTTCTACATTTTAGGTAGGAATTATTCGGCAAACTTTTGAGCTGTCGTCACAATAAAGTAAGACGAATTTGGAAAGTAGTGTGAAGAACAAGGAACCCAAGGGATCTCGCGGAAACCGTATTCTTGGCATATTTTCATGAAAAATCCATCAAATACATGAGTTCTACACTTGGACCAAATATTCCAGCTGAGACAATGTTTAAGTTAAAAAAAAAAATTGTATATCAGCAAAATTATTGTCTTTCCTAAAACGAAAAAATTGGTCTAAAGAGTTTAGACAGTACTTCCCTCGCTGTCGGAAACTTGACGACTGCATGCCTATTGTGTTTTTTTTCTCATTACATTTTTGTAGTGTGAATTTAAAAAAAAATTGCGATGACGTCATCAACATTTTTGCAAGGACACGTATATCAGTTGGGATAGATGTAGTGTAATACTAAGAATAAAATTATTATATTCTCAAATTTTCGGGAAAATGAATTGGGTCGTTTTGAATATTGATTTGTAATAATCAATAAAATAACGAAACAATTTACTCACGTATACGTATCAGAGGCAACTGAAAATCGTGTATGTATAAACATCCTTAATTTAAGATGACAGGTGTAACAGCATACGTGAGAGTCAAACAGAGAAACTGTAAACAAAACGACCATCGGTTTTATTGCTTCGACTTCCGCTTATTATATAAAACATTGGGTTTTATTTTAATTCTTGACGGTGAAATTCACAATTGGTTGATTATAAACATGTCTATTTCACATTCGCGGAACCAAGTGAACGCATAAAACAAATGCAGGTCTGTAATGTTAAAGTCGATGTAAATAAGCGTGCTACCCTTATGTTTCAACCGAGTTTTTCCTTTAACAAATTTTGTGTCTACCAAATTGGGTTGGTTGGGGTGTAATACTAATAATAATTGTTGCCTTTAATTTAATCAATAAAATAAATTGACTTCATTAATTTTTTTGAACCACCTCTTAAGAAAATCTAAAAAATATGAATGGAATGATAAATCACAAGTACAAACTCATCATATTTTTTGCATTTTAGATAGGATTTATTCAGCAAAATTTAAGGGTAACGTCATCAATTTTTTTAGGAGGGATGAACAAATACATTTTGAACAAAAGTTTACCATGCTTATAATAACTTTAAAATATTCCCAAGATTTCAAAGCATTCCGTTTTGTAGTTCCTGATTAAATCAATAAAATATATTTACGCATTCATTAATTTTTTTGAGTCACTCTGTATATGCAAATCCAAAAAATATGAATGGAGTGACAAATGACAAGTACAGGCTCATCATATTTTGTACATTTTAGATATGATTTATTCGGCAAACTTTCGAGCTGACGTCATCAAGTTTTTGGAGGGGATAAGCAAATATATTTTGACTAAACATTTATTATGCTCTTTATGACCTTAAAACATCTGCAAGATTTCAGAGCATTCGGTTTTGTAGTTCCTGATTAAATCAATAAAATATATTTACGCATTCATTAATTTTTTTGAGTCACCCTGTATATGCAAATCCAAAAAATATGAATGGAGTGATAGATCACAAGTACAGACTCATCATATTTTGTACATTTTAGATATGATTTATTCCACAAACTTTTGAGCTGACGTCATCAAGTTTTTGGAGGGGATAAGCAAATATTTTTTGACTAAAGATTTATGATGCTCTTTATAGCCTTAAAACATCTGCAACATTTCAAAGCATTCTGGTTAGCAGATTAAAAATTAAATTTCAAAATGTTGTTTTATAATTTTGGTTTTTTTTCCAAAAATCTGGACGTTTCGGGTGAAAAGTCGATTCAGAGTTGTAAACTACATGTGTAGGACTATGTTATTTTATACAATTGAAAACCCATTTACTATGTACAATTTTGAAGTGACGTCATCGCATTAGTGGTGGGGATGATTAGACCAATTTTGGTTAGCGTTTTACTATCTACATGATATTTTTAATATAAGTACAAAATTTCACAACAATCGGTCGAGTACTTTCGGAGATTATCTGTCTAATAAAAATCCGGGACGGCAGACGGACAGACAGACGGACGGACAGACGGACAGACAGACGGAAACGGGAGACCTATTTCTTCTTCATGGCCGGTGCTTGTAGGAGTAAAGAATTAGTGGATTTATTAACAACCGATGTTTAAGATTTAGGATCTTCATTATTATTTAACGGCAGAAACACAAACAACACAGTTGACTGAACAATCATTGTCAAGAATTCATCAAACAATGCTAATGATCTTGTCTAAATATGCAGTATGTAGGAAGAGTGAAACGAAACATAGTCTCAAACAACTGCTGAATTTCTAAATCTTTCGGAAGCGTCGTTGCACATGGGTCATTGTTTCCGGCGTACCTCAACATCTCTTCTTGTTGACGCAGGAGTTAATATAGATGTTTTGAAAGGTTATGGGGCTGGAAGTCTCAAGTAATGGCCGAAGGATACGTTGAGAATTCAGTGAATAATAAAAAACAAATTATTGAAGACATATTTGGTCAAAATGAAAAATATCAACCCTCCACGTTCACTAATGCCTCGACTTTTGGAGAGTGTTCATCCAATAAAAAACGACCACGTGGAAGCTCAGCATTAGCAGAATTAACTGTAGCTAACAACCTTCATTTGTCGCAGATCCAAACTGATGCTAATAAAATAAGAATCGTTTATTTAATTTTGTTGTTTGTGAGAGCATAAATTACTATTGTTGTCAGGGTAATTGAATTTATTTCTATTTAATCCCTTGGATTTTTTTTTAGATTTAGTCGCTTGGGAACAAATGGACCATTTTAGCCCCGTAAATAAATAAATTAAATTAGCCATTTAATCCCGGAATTGCAAAAATTTGTTTATTATTGCTTAAACAATATAAATAACTACGCACACCCTTTGAAATGTTTCTGATTTCAAACAATATATTAAAATAAACATTTTAAAAAAAGTTTCATCAAAATCGCATCTGTTTCTGAGAATTATGAGGTTTTGACACTTTTTAAGCTTATTGACTCGACTAAAACGGGCACTAGAACAAGGATTTCATAGAACTCTCTAAGAAAGAGTTAAACGTTGGTGCAGTTCGTGTTAGTTTTTAAGAAATGTTTAAATTTTAAACGTAGGTGCAAATGGGCATCTCAATGGTACAGTTTATGTATTGAACATAATACTTAGGTATAATAATAATGGGGTCGAATTGTTCAAATGAAATCAACTGAGTCATCATCGACCTACTATATACGTAATAATGGTGATATGTATCCAAAACACCTACAAAAAGAATAATTATGATCTCCGCCAAATTAAACTTTCGCTTTCTCACTCTAGCATCAGTGATGAAATAAAATGTTGTCACACGAGTGTCCATCATTTTCATTCTATACTTCTATGTACTGTGTCATGTTTATTTTTCGAATATAGACTTTTTCCCAACAGAATAAAATTCGTAGTGTAAAATCGATTTGATAAATGACGATTTTATTGGATCACCGAAACTTGTAAATTGACTACTGTGGAACGTTGGGTGTATTTTAAGACTGTTGTGTAGATGGTTAAGAGGAGTCGCTACGTTTGGCTCTTATGGTGTTGTCAATATATTTTCAGAATGTAATATCTCCATTATTAATACACCAATGGTTATGAAATTTTATATGTAACTTGTCCACAAATTTCACTACATGACTGCGAAGGCAGTTTTTTTTTAAACAATTTATTATTATATATTTTTTAAATTTTGTTGAAATTTTTGCATCACGTGTTTTAAAAAATCAATATTTCAGTTATTTATGGAAATTTTGGAACGGGGTTGTCACCACTGTTTTCAGCTTGCAAAACTTGAGAAATTCTACTAGGTCTATTTGTGACTTTATTTGTTGGGACTGAGATATAGTAAAAATAAAAGTTAGCAACTTCTATGATATACGCTTTTTTTAACTGTGTATCGTTTCTAAAAAATAAAATCGACGATATATCTCGTATGATTTCTGGAGTTTTGTAAGCTGAAAACAGTGTTGAAAACCGTGTTCTGAAATTTTATTTAATAATTGAGATATTAATAATTGAGATATTAATAATTGAGATATTGATTTTTAAAAATACGTTATGCAAAAATTTCACTAAAATTAAAAAAAATATATGATCACAAGCTGTTTTTAACAAAATTGCCCTTGGGTTATATAAAGAAAGTTATGGACAACATATATTTAAAATTTGAAAACTATAGATCTGTTAATAACGTAGATATTACATTTTGAAAATAGAGCGAAAATTCCGCTGAGAAAACTTAGGGACTGGCCTTAAACGCAAACAAAATTTCTTGGTTCATCTCCACTAACGTTTTAATGCCGTCAGTTCAAAATTTTTCTAGGTAAATTCCGTTTAAATTTTATAAAATACTTCCTCCGTCCAGAAATAAGTGTCCAATTATGATTTTTTCAAAAATTAAGCAAAATACGCATTGCTTTTAAAAGTTGACCGTCATTTTGAAAACACTTTTGACGGGTGAAATTTTAGACAACCGCGACAAAGTTCTGTAATTTCTCTTGGAATATAAAGTGTGTGAGCAAAAATAAAGAATTTTTAAGCGGTGATATAAAGTTCCGGTCAGAGACAATAATGGGAGATATGGAAACAAATTTGAGAAGAAACGATTCTAGAAGACCCAATTTAAGTTCAAATAAGAGGCAAGCAGTGTATCACACATTACTCGAATTAAGCAGAGTATGGTATAAATCATGAAAGTAAATGGAGGTAACAACTATAAATTGCGTCATATGAAAAAAGACTTTATAGGCTTCCCATTTCTGTAAATGTTGATTTCGTCCTTTATCAACATGTACAAGACATTGTTAGTTCAGTTTAAGTAATTTAGAATGAATATTATTTGTTGTTAAGTTTGAATAAAATGTGTAATTTTGTTTTTATTGTTTGATTTTATTTTTGGACAAGAAAAAAATCGAAATCGGATATTTATTTCTGGACGGAGGGAGTAATACACATTTATTGTTTTGGTTATTACTACATATGCCTTTTTTCTATCTTAGACATTTGGATTTTTGTAACAAAAATTTCAAAAAAAATTGCAAAATTTTTGTTGGAACATACAAAACCCACAGTTCTGAAATATTGCAGACGTTTAAAGACCATTGTTAATATGGTAAAACTCTAATCAAAATTTCATGTGTATAATTTTTAGAAACCTGATGACGTGATTTCAAATTATTGTGCAGCTGTTTAGGAAAAAATAAAATCGTACAATTTATTTTAGAAATTCTTGAACCCGTTGTTTTGAAATTTAACACATACTCTGCCGTTATCAACAGCCTAATGAACAGCTTATCCTCACTGAAACTTTGATGACGCAATTTAAAAAATTTGCTACCATTTAGCAATTAACTTTTGCAAAATAATATGGGTCGATTTTATCGAAAAAATTGGACTCTGACTGTGCTTAAGGTACGAGGGAAATTCTACCTAAATTACTTCAGGTCAGTTTTTTGACTATCACCTTATTTTATTAGAAAATCTTTCCCCGAATATTGTTAACTAATAGATTCTGGGGTTAATTTTGGACACTTACTGCAAAGTAAGCAGAAAATAAGTACAGTAGTGGAAGAAATTACGAATAAAATGTTGTGCTATTGTGTTCGTAACTTGAACTGAATGCAAATACTGCAAATCTCATGTACTTTAATAATTACGGCCTTTAGTACTAGCCTTACACTCAACTGTACTGTAGAATGTAAAAACACAAAAAATGTCTTCAGAATTAATAACACACCTTGTAATCCACATATATGTAAATCCAACTGTTAAACAAACACTTGAGGCACTCATCCACACTGGCGACATTATTACAACAAAGAGACAAATCAGTGAAAAATTGCCAGGAACTGAATAAAAACTACACTCATTGTCTCATTTATCCATTAAGATCTGCCCTGCTATCTGACGAAATAATAAGGAAGTAATGTCAAGGACACTTGAGAACTATTAAAACAATAAAATCCATAATTGTTAATAGATAGTTCCAAATCTAACAAAGGCAACAAAGAAAAGTAATTTGCTAATATAATAGATTGATATCAATTAAACATCAATGTAATAAATCTTCACTAAACATTACATGATTACAAGTTCACAGCAGAAAAACAACTATAACATTAGCTGACAATTTATAATTATCAAGACACATTATACAAAATTATTTAGCAAGGTCACAACTAAATTTATAGTAACTCCAAACCGTCCTAATTGAAAATAACGTAATTTAAATTATCGCTAAGAACATGCAATACGGAATGGTCCAAGGCTCCGAACAAAGTACCCTCTTATTCATCTGTACGTCACTCCTCATCGCGTAGTCAAAATTTAAATTGAAAAGCACCATTCAATTTCGACTGTGTCAAGACTCACATACTGTCTCTGTATTTGTGTTACTTACCTAAAATCGCTCGCAGATGCCCTTCCAACGTTTGCAAAATGGTGGCTTTTATCTCGTTGACGGATTTCCCGAGGAACTGTTCCGAGGCGGTGTATAAAAGTTCGTCGGCCTTCATGATTTTGCATTGAGCAACGCCCGTGACAGTTAAGGGGACGCCTTGAGCCGTCTCGACGCTTTCGCACATAGGATTTAGGGTCATCACCTCGAGGGACAGGCGTTGGACGTCGGTGACCAACCACCATGCCCATGCCCATCCCCCTACTATCGTCACGCGTTTGGTCGAACCGCAGCATCCTCCTACAAACGAAAAAAAAAAGAATATAAGAACCACTCAAGTTTATATAGTTACAGGCTTGTCAAAGATGAAAAATATTTTACTGAAGAATATTATTTTTGGCGTTCATTACAACTACAGAATACTAGCTGATGCGACTTTATTCAGCGTTCGATGACCGCCAAGCTTAGATCCAAGGTTTGTGTAGTTCACAGTTTTATGAATTAGGGGCTCTTTAACTTTTTTAGGCCGTAAAATTTCATTAGCTCGCAAAAATATCTTGCATTGGATAAATATCGGGTATCAGATCAGGTTTTCCATAATTATTATTTTTTAATGTGAAGGTGAATTATAGTAAGGTCGTAGGATCGTACATAATAATCTTATATTAAAATTCGGAAATTCGAATCTTATAATAAAAGTTATTATTATTATGATATAATAGTGACTGAAAGCATTATAATTATGGGAATAACAATAATAGTCAGTTTATACGACATTATGATACTGTTTCTCTAGAATACATAAAAGTTTTCAGCTTTTCCTATAAACATTCTTATTTCCAGTTGAAATCATCAAATTATAACAGTGCAACATTTGAAGAAATATCGAGGATTCAACAAAAACCATACGTAATATTATAGCTTAAAAGGTGATGGCGTCATAAACAAATAAATATATTAAGCAAATTACCTTTACAATAACAAATTTGATAAATGAACCACCACGAAAACAAATAACGAATTGATTGAAATTTATCTATTTTTTAATTAAACATCATCAGCGTTTTGGAAAAAACACATTTAGGAAAAAAAAACCTGTTCTGGCTTTAACAAAACATCATAAACTTTCAATTTTAAATTCAGTCATAGAAAGTGAAATACGAAATTAGCGATCCACTTAAAGGGAATTTTTAATAATATACAAGATCTGATTAACAATTTCTCGGGTGGGAAATTTATTGGTTATAACATTATTTTTTTACACTCCGGTAATAAACTGTGTTGAATGGAAATTGCACCAATCAAAAACAATAGGCAGACAGAAGGTTTTGACTTATCGAAATAATTTAATTTTTTTTAAGAAATATTCTTTAATTTAGAGCATAACCTTTAATACAATCGACAAAAGATGACCCAAATTACATCCGGTAAAATTTTCAACTCTCAGCTAACATGGGGTATAAAATTTAACATGGGAATCCATGGTCACTTTTAAAAGATTGGTCGAAAGTTATTTCAACAGGACTTCCCTCGCCGCTTTTTCGAAAAATTAAAAAAATTGATTTTGCGAATATTTAATCGGTAAAACGAATACAAGAGTATGCTATTTTCTGAATTTTATTATAAACATTTTTGAGATGTCAGGATATCGATAGGGAGATTGGGCAAATTTTGGTTGGAGTTTTACCATCTACACGATATTCTTAATATACACATAAAATACAATCGGTCCGGTAGTTTTGGAGATTATTTGCCTAATAAAAATCTGAACAGACGGTACACAGACTAAGCCACGAGACCTAATTTTTCATACTCTATAGGCCATGAAATGTCGAGAAAACATAGCCAGTCGCCCCCCCATAGACTCGATTTCAATACTTTTTACTTCCCGAGCGTAAGCAAAGGAAGTATTGTAATCGAGTCCGTCGGCCGACTCTCTACTTTTACGTTTTCTCGATCTTTCATGACCCCTAGAAGACGAAGAAATAGGTCTCCCATTTCCGTCTGTCTGTCCGTCTGTCCGTCTGTCTGCCGTCCCGGATTTTTATTAGACAAATAATCTCCGAAAGTACTGGACCGATTGTTGTGAAATTTTGTAGTTATATTAGGAATATCATGTAGATGGTAAAACGCTAACCAAAATTTGTCTAATCATCCCCACCACTAATGCGATGACGTCACTTCAAAATTGTACATAGTAAATGGGTTGTAAATTGTATAAAATAACATAGTCCTAAACATGTAGTTGACGACTCCGAATTGAGTTTTTACCCGAAACGTCCAGATTTTTGGAAAAAAAATCAAAATTATAAAACAACATTTTGCAATTTAATTTTGAATCTGCTAATCCGAATGTTTTGGAATGTTGCAGATGTTTTAAGGCTATAAAGAGCATCATAAATCTTTAGTCAAAATATACTTGGTTATCCCCTCCAAAAACTTGATGACGTCAGCTCAAAAGTTTGCCGAATAAATCCTATCTAAAATGTACAAAATATGATGAGTCTGTGCTTGTGATATATCACTCCATTAATATTTTTTGGATTTGCATATACAGGGTGACTCAAAAAAATTAATGAATGCGTAAATGTATTTTACTGATTTACTCAGGAACTACAAAACCGAATGCTTGGAAATCTTAAAGATGTTTTAAAATTATCATAAGCATAGTAAATTTTTGATCAAAATGTATTTAGTCGTCCCCCCTAAAAAAGTTGATGACGTCACCACAAAATTTTGTTGAATAAATTCTATCTAAAATGTCCAAAATATGGTGAGTCTCTTCTTGTGATTTATAATTCCATTCAAATTTTTTCGATCTCCATATACAGGGTGACTCAAAAAAAATTAATAAATGCGTGAATTTATTTTATTGAGTTAATCAGGAACTACTAAACCGAATGCTTTGAAACCTTGCAGATGTTTTAAGGTTATAAAGAGCATAATAAATGTTTGGTCAAAATATATTTGCTTATCCCCTCCAAAAAATTGATGACGTCAGCTCGAAAGTTTGCCGAATAAATCCTATCTAACTGTACAAAATATGATGAGTCCGTACTTGTAATTTATCATTCCATTCATATTTTTTGGATTGGCATATACAGGGTGTCTCAAAAAAATTAATGAATGCGTAAATTTTTTTTATTGATTTACTGAGAAATCACAAAACCGTATGGTTTGAAATCTTGAAGATGTTTTAAAGTTATCATGAGCATGGTAAGTTTTTAATCAAAATATATTTGTTCATCCCCCCTAAAAAATTTATGACGTCACCACAAAATTTTGCTGAATAAATCCTATCTAAAATGTACAAGATATGATGAGTCTTTTCTTATGATTTATCATTCCATTCATATTTTTTGGATTTGCATATACAGGTGACCCAAAAAAATTAATGAATGCGTAAATGTATTTTATTGATTTAATCAGAAACTCCAGAACCGACTGTTTTTAAATCTTGCAAATGTTTTAAGGTTATAAAGAGCATAATAATTTTTTAGTCAAAATATATTTGGTTATCTTCTCCAAAAAACTGATGACGTCAGCTCAAAAGTTTGCCGAATAAATCCTATCTAGAATATACAAAATATGATGAGTCTGTACTTGTAATTTATCATTCCATTCATATTTTTTGAATTTGCGTATACTGGGTGACTCGAAAAAAATAATGAATGCGTAAATTTATTTTATTGGTTTACTCAGGAACTACAAAACCCAATGCTTTGAAATCTACTGCGAAAAAAAAACATAATAGACATGCAGTCGTCACGTTTCCGACAGCGAGGGAAGTACTGTCTAAACTCTTTAGACCAATTTTTTTGCTTAGGTTCAGGAAGTAAAAATAAAATTCGCAAAAATAAATTTTATAATTTTTTGAACATTTTGTATTTTATAGAACGTGTATTTCCACACTACCGAAAACACACAATATATTTGTCGACGCATTTTGCCAACCACGTTGGCATTATCTATGCATGTTTACAATCACTTCAAAACGTCAATATTTCAAAGTACATATTCAGTTTTGCAATTCTTGATTTAATCAATAAAATAAATTGACTCAGGCACCCCGTCTAAGCAAATCTAAAAAATATTAATGTAGCGATAAATCACAAATGTAGATTCATCATACTTTGCACATTTAAGATTTTTTCAGCAAAATTTTGGGGTGGCGTCGTCAATTTTTTTGGGGGGATGAACCTTTTGATCAAAAATTTACCATATTTATGATAACTTTAAAACATCTCCAAGATTTCAAAGCATTCAGTTTTGTAGTTCCTGATTAAATCAATAAAATAAATTTACGCATTCATTAATTTTTTTGAGTCACTTTGTATATGCAAATCCAAAAAATATGAATGGAATGATAAATCACAAGTACAGACTCATTATATTTTGTACATTTTAGATAGGATTTATTTAGCAAACTTTTGAGTTTACGTCATCAATTTTTTGGAGGGGATAAGTAAATATATTTTGATTAAAAATTTATCATGCTTACTTATCATGACTGTAAACCATCTGCAAGATTTCAGAGCGATCGGTTTGCAGATTCCAAATTAAATTGCAAAATGTTTTTTCATAATTTTGATTTTTTTTTCAAAAATCTGGACTCAATTCGGAGTCCTAAACTACATGTGTAGGACTATGTTATTTTATACAATTTAAATCCCGTTTACTATGTACAATTTTAAAGCGACGTGGGGATGATTAGATAAATTTTGGTTAGCGTTTTACCAACTACATGATATTCCTAATATAAATACAAAATTTCACAACAATGGGTCCAGTACTTTCGGAGATTATCTGTCTAATAAAAATCCGGCACGGTAGACAGACAGACAGACAGACAGACGGAAACGGGAGACGTATTTCTTCGTCCTCTACGGATCACGAAAGGTCCTTTGCTTACGTTCGGGAAGTAAAAAGATTCACTATATATGAGGAAACATCACAACTGAAATAAAGTTTTAGTAATATTTGCAGAATTTGGTAAATCGATTAAACTATTTTAGGGTAATTGTTGCCAAAATACAAGGACTAGGTGCGAAATCTGCCCTTTCCAAGTCTTCAGATAGTCATCATAATGTTTTCTACGACTTATTTACTTTGTGATATTTTACAGTTCAAAGTCTATTCTGCATACATACATAAATAGCAAATTAACTTTTTTATGTTAAATTCTGAATAACTAACTCCAATTCTACTAAATATTGTTATTATCGAAGTTCAGGTTGGATATTAAAAACAATTAATTAACAGCACAACACAACACAATAAATGTTTCAATTTGATCCAAATGATACACAACTTCTAGGAAAAAAAACTTGTCAGTTCTGTCACCTGTATTTGATATGATAAGTTTAAGCTTACGGAGCGTGGTGGTACTGGAACTCATCAAATTAATAACATTTTTAGCGTTTAACCATCCATACAATATTCCTAAAACACATAAAATTTTGCAACAATCACTCCAGTTTCGAAGACTTCGTGACTTCTTCGAGGTCTCCTTGAATTCATGCATTACGAAATTGGCACTCAATTAATAAGTCTACACATAGCAAGAACGGAATGTATTTATTTAATTGGTTTAGTGTACCATTTCTGAGGCTGAAGTGACTCAGAGTGTCTGAGAGGTGAATCTGTAGCTGACAACGTTCACAGAAAAATATTAACACAAACGGTAAAAGTTTATAACACAGCCAGTGCCAGTGACGAAATAATAACTATTTCGGCCGGATCTGGCTTCTTGCATTGTGCAAGAATCAGCCGGAACTGAGTAGACTCGCATAGAGGTGAAAAATACCAATTGTACTGGAAGAAGATAATCCCTCAAATATGCGTCAATAGCGACCAATTGAAAATCTTTGGAGTTTGTTGAGTGGAAAAATGTTCCAAAACGAAAAGACTTTTACTTGTTACGGCCATCTACTTTCTGAAACCAGTTTCCGATTTTTCTTTGTACGTGTATTTAAAAACACTCTGTAAATTGAAAAGGTTGGATTTTTGAAAATAATACCTTACAAAGATATGTATGTAGGTCTCTCTTTAAACTCTAGATACACAACTATATTTATGTTATACTTAGTAGTCGATAGAATTTGTACATATTCGCGTGCCTTACGCTCTCTTTTTTATTCGTTCCATAATCAATCAATTTAACATCTTCTATTGAAATGAGCAAAAACTGAAGTAGTAATATCTTGACGTTCCGTGTCGAATCACGTTATCTTTCAGTCAAGGTTTCCTTTATGTACGAAACATGTAAGTGTTACTTTAAGACGATATTTTTAATTTTCAGGGGTTGAGTTGAGTTTGAACAATGAAGAATGAGTTTTGTAAGAAACAGTCATAAATCTGATACGTATTTTTTATGAAAAATAAATAAATAAATGGTATTTTTGATAACATAGTATGTAGTTTAAACATTTCAAATGTAGCCATAAGATTGACTAGTAAATTGCGACCTAAAAGTTTAACTCAAACTCAACTCTCATACTTATATTATAGTACAAAGTTTATAAAACGACTTGATCATGAAAAAATGGTTTTAAAATTAAAACATCCTGCAGTTGCGTAATCACTAATTACCAAACTGTTGATAAACTGTTAGAATGTAGGTTGTGGTATTAAAAGATGTGTGGTCCTATCAGTTCTTAATTCACAAATCTCATGTAGTTGCTAAATACGTATATATTTTATCAAAAAGTACAATATACGGAACATCTGATCTTGAATTAAAGTTTTTATTTTGGTGCAACAAATGTCAACTACCTATGTATCAGTGACTATTGTACTTTATATATATAGTGTACTAAATACATCGAGGACGCGGGAAAACCACTACAGGCAAAAAACTATATTTCTCATCAAAGAATTCTTAATGACCTTATAATGTAGCTGTACCAATTGATAAAAGCTCAAAACAAAGCAAAAAAAAAGTTCTTTTACAAGGGTGCTTTTCCTGTAGTGTTTGTCTTTGCGTTTCGATGAACTCTAATCTTTGCTTTATTACTATTTGAAAAGATAAGCAGGTAACATTTTTCTATCAAATTATTTCTAACTATTCACCTCGTTACTATTAATTACCATCGTGAAATAACCACACACGGCTATACAAGAAATGAGGAAATCGGAGAAATTTTAAATACAAACAAAAATAATAAAAATTGCAAACGCTACGTGACGCACGTAGGCAACTCATTTCATGAATGAAAAAATTAAAACTTTCACCCGTCATCACCGACCATCCTCCTTTCATCTTCATCTTCTTCTTTCTTTCACTGACTCGTAGAAATTCTCTTCGGTCCACAAGGACTACCGTTATACTAAACCAAATCACGCTCCACTCATTCAATCGAATTAAAAGTCTATCTGTTACAAAACGATCGTCCAGTACTAATTTGGTCGCTTGGAAGAAATTCCGTTACGAAGAAATACTCTGTCACCGTTCCAATGGAGCGCAGCTGAAACTACATTTACACTTACTTATACACCGCAGGAAAATTAAGGCTCAGCAGTCTATCTGAAGAAATGTCAAGTTCAAGGCGAATGCTTGCAAAAGAAGACAAGAAGATGCTGCAATGGTGAAATGTGCATCTTTTGGCAAATAGTTGCCTTCTATACGATGCTTGTTTTGTTGAAATTTCGCGACAGGTTGTTTTTGGTTTCTGGAAAGTGCATAACGGTTAAATGTTTTTGTTGACGGTGTAGTCACTTTGTGGAATTTGGTGAGTTATCCAGAAATTTTACACGTTCTTGTGTCTGGTATGATATTTTTTTATTTTTAATAGATTTAGATTTGTGTTTTTACGAAATACTATTTGTATTAAACGAGATGCATTCATCAAACATATTATATATATTTATAAAACAATTTTCACTAGATCTAAGTGATATTTTAATGTGAGACAGTTTAACTCAATTTTTAAAATGTTTTTTTAAGATAATATTCCCAAAAGTGCCCTTAATTATAAATTATAGGTAAATTTTATAAAAAAAAATATTTTTTTTAGAACCGCTCAACTATTACCGTTGTTTTAAGTATTCGTTTAAATTAATATTCTACTCAGTATGTTCACTATTAAACAACTACCCGAAAAAAGTTACCTTTAAAAGTCACTAACCTGGGTTACGTAATGAACTTTGTTAGATTTTCGAACACTCCGAAATACATACAACCATCATCACTATATCCTAAATTTTTCGGACCGTTGCGTGCAACTGTCCCTTATCACTCAGGTAGTTTGCGCGCAACAGTCCCACGCCCGTTTAGGTGTACATATTTTGCAACTTTACGCAGTAAAAAGAATTCGAAAGTCTTAATCTAGATATTCTCTAGTTTGCTTACCAAAATCATTCCTGAATTTTAAAGTGTGACAGAATATGAGTATTGATATCTAGTGCGAATAAGTATTCTACAATAGCAAAAATGCTTTTGAAATTATCCAAACGCAGCTGTGACTAATTTTAATCCGCTGGGATGTATAACGAAAGAATTTGTCGTTCTACTTTTGATTTTATTTGCGTATGTTTATTAATACTGGAATATTATTTGTTCACAAATTATGGTACCAAAATTGTAAGGTGTAATGTTTTTACTACATAAATTTCGCTTTAGTACAAGCTCACCTAACTTACGGCATATTAATTTGGGGGCATAGCTCTGCAATACACAAATTGTTTCGACTTCAGCCAAGGGCGATCAGAATCATTGCAAATCTTGCATACCGGGATGACTGCAAATCGTATTTCAAAACACTAAACAAATTGACATTACCATCTCTATATATTTACCATAGCTTAAAATATATCCTCCTGGAAATAGTGTCTTTTCCCACATTAAGCTCCTTTCACGACTATCATACGCGATCAGCTGACCTGTCGATTGAATATTGGCGGATTTCCCGCTGTAGAAATGCTATTAATTATTATTGTATATTATTTTTTAACAAGCTGCCGTTAAGTTACCGACAACTATCATCTAAGGAAGCTCTAAGGAAAATAAAATCATTTTTAATGGCAAATGCATTTTATAGCATTAATGAATATTTAGAGTACAATTTCAGTTTGTAATTTATAGAAATATAAGTACCTTTTTGTATATTCTTTTTTTATGACGACTGTAACTTTTAGTTTAACACAATAAAACATTACTTACTTACTTACTTACTTACTTACTTACTTACTTACTTACTTACTTACTTACTTACTTACTTACTTACTTACTTACTTACTTACTTACTTACTTACTTACTTACTTACTTACTTACTTACTTACTTACTTACTTACTTACTTACTTACTTACTTACTTACTTACTTACTTACTTACTTACTTACTTACTTACTTACTTACTTACTTACTTACTTACTTACTTACTTACTTACTTACTTACTTACTTACTTACTTACTTACTTACTTACTTACTTACTTACTTACTTACTTACTTACTTACTTACTTACTTACTTACTTACTTACTTACTTACTTACTTACTTACTTACTTACTTACTTACTTACTTACTTACTTACTTACTTACTTACTTACTTACTAACTGCCCATTCACAATGGACATAAGACATAAGAACGAGCGCATAACATAATTTACGTTTTTGGTTTGTGTCTGGCTTATGCTTATCTACGTTCACAGTGGACGGACAGAGTGAACTCTGTAAGAATTGTTAAACTGCGCAAACGCAGAACGGTATAACTCCCGGCTAAACATAGAAACGGTTAACCTCAAACTGAGTTAAAAAAAATATCTAACCTAAAATTTCATACGATATTCGAACTTGACAACTCGCAGTACAGAACAGACTCGCCGTGTGAAGCTTTGATTATAATTTTTATAATATAATCAAAGGTGTGAAGTGCCAAGTGCCAACTGTCAAAGGGAATTCAATAGCGGCATTCAAAAGTCCCTAGATTTTAACATAATTTTGACATAATTCGTGCACAAAGTTGAACTTATTTCAACTTTGTGTACGCACACAAGGATTACATAAAACGTTCATAAGCATAAGAATTACGTTCGTCCACTGTGAACAGGGGTACGCGTTTTCCATAGTTTCAACTTTACGTATTTATGTAAGCTTTATGTACTTGTTATGCCTTATGTCCATTGTGAATGGGCAGTTACTTACTTACTTACTTACTTACTTACTTTTAATTACAATATTACACTTTTTTAACACACTCTGCAAATAATATATAACTCAAATGTAATCACTTAAGAGGATGAGCAACCCCAAGCAAACAAGCCCAAAAAATACTATTTGTCCTACCGTTCTCACAGCGATAATCTAATTTTGAAAACGCACTTGCCCTATTAAAAGATGGATGTACAAAATGAGCAGACTACATTTTTAAAATTTGAACCCTTTCTTCTAGATATTAGGGGTCAAAGTTTGATGAATTTCAACACGTGTTTGTAATGCCTTTTTTAAAGGAATTCAAAAATCCGGTCTGGTCATTCTGTAGAAGAAGGCTTTGTATATTTTAAGTTAAAATATCTTTTAGATATTCCCGGTAATTACTATAAGAGAGGTGCAGGACAAAACCAATATTTCGCAAATTTTCGATGTACAACGCAATGGGGTGCCTCCTTTACAGGGGCATGATGAAATTTTGTAGGTACCCATCTATTTGTATAGTCCCAGACAAAAATATATTATACCTAATTTTCCCAAAATTTAAATAATCTTATTATGTGGGAGAGCGTTGGCTCAAGGTCATTTAGAGTTGCTCATCCTCTTAAAAAGTAATTATTTATCAGTGTAATAATTTCACTTTCTTAATAAATAAATACAATTTTGATAAACAAACCTGGATTATAATTCTGGTCAAAATTGGCAAAATTTAAGCAAAAATCACGAACATAATTCGCCGTTACACAAACATGAACACACTGAACCACTTTTCCGTTGAGAAACAAATATAGATAGTGCCCACGTGCCACGATTCAGGTAAATCCACCCTGATTAAAATTCAACACCAACACCATTAATGTCGTTCCATAACATTCCACTAATATCATTCTTTCGTCGTACCGACACCGCATTAATATTCCGTCGTAGAAGTCTTGGGCAACAAAATTCACTATTTCTTTCTTTCTCCTCCCCATTAGTAGTACAATGGCCGTTAATCGGTTGTTCTTCAAATAATTAAAGGAAGGGCGATCGTAGAAAGTTAAATATAGGTTTAACTCAGTCCAGTCATCACCAGCACACAAGAATGACCTTACTTTTCGGTACGTTATACATTTTAGTATTTTACAGGAAACATGGAAGCTTTGACAGCTCCTATTCTTGGTCTAGGAGCTTCAGCTGCATCGAATTTGGCAGTGTTCATCCCTGCACTGGTAGCAGCGATTGCGTACTACCAGTACGACCTTTTGGATCCGGAAGCTCGGATCGCAGACACCAGCACCGATGAGTTGGAAACGTACGACTTCATAGTGGTTGGAGCAGGGTCTGCCGGTAAGATGGTACATAAGAATGAATATTTTCGGTAAAAAAAGTACTGTTTTTAGGTGCTGTGGTTGCAAACAGACTTAGCGAGGTAGAGCAATGGAAGGTCCTACTCCTGGAAGCAGGTGGCGACGAAATTGAAATTTCTGATGTTCCTTTAATGGCGGCGTATCTACAACTATCTCAAATCGACTGGAAGTATAAAAGCGAGCCTCAAGGTCAAGCTTGTTTAGCGATGAAGCACGGACGCTGCAACTGGCCTAGAGGAAAAGTCATGGGTGGTTCTTCAGTACTGAACTACATGTTGTATCTTCGAGGCAACAAGAAAGACTACGACTTGTGGGAATCACTTGGAAATCCCGGTTGGGGAAGCAAAGACGCACTTTACTACTTCAAGAAGAGTGAAGACAACCAGAATCCGTATTTATCACGTACTAATTACCATTCAACTGGAGGGTACTTGACGGTTTCAGAAGCACCTTATCACACACCACTTACTGCGTCTTTTGTGGAAGGTGGCCGTCAGCTAGGATACGAAAATAGAGACATTAACGGAGAGTACCAAGCAGGATTCATGGTAGCGCAAGGTACTGTTAGAAAAGGAGCGCGTTGTTCCACTGCCAAAGCTTTTCTCCGACCGATACGACTTCGTAAGAACTTGCACATAGCAATGCATTCGCAAGTAACGCGGATTCTCATCGATCCAACTTCCAAAGTAGCCTACGGGGTAGAGTTCATCCGGGATAAAAAGCTACACCGGATTCGTGCCACAAAAGAGGTAATACTATCTGCAGGGGCCGTAAATTCTCCCCAACTCCTCATGCTCTCAGGAGTCGGTCCTCGTGCCGAACTCGACAAACATAAAATTCCCTTAGTACAAGAACTGAACGTTGGAGAGAACTTACAAGATCATATAGGTCTAGGCGGATTGACATTTGTGATAAACCGCCCACATTCGATTCGACTGGACCGCATCTACTCCGTCAGTGCCTTGATGCAATACACGGTCTTCGGAGGCGGGCCTTTAACAGTTTTGGGCGGAGTCGAAGGCTTGGCTTTTGTTAATACGAAGTACGCGAATGCTTCTGATGATTTCCCTGATATTGAGCTCCACTTTATCTCAGGGTCTACTCATTCGGACGGCGGTACCCAATTGAGGAAAGCACATGGGTTGACTGACACGTTCTACGAGAAAGTGTTTGGGCCAATCGCAGATAAGGATGCTTGGAGTGTCATCCCCATGTTGCTTCGTCCGAAAAGTCGTGGTTTGATTAAACTGAGAAGCAAAAATCCTCTTGATTATCCTTTGATTTATCCAAACTACTTCAAGGATGATTTTGATATGAAGACTTTGATTGAAGGGGTTAAAATCGGGGTGGCTTTGAGTCAGACTAAGGCGTTCCAATATTATAAGAGTACTCTTCACAAATTTCCCGATTGTGAAGGATTTAAAGACTATTCGGATGAGTTTTATGAGTGTATGATTAGATTGTATACTGTAACTATATATCATCCTGTTGGTACTTGCAAGATGGGTCCGTACTGGGACCAGGAGGCGGTGGTTGACCCACAGTTGAGGGTTTATGGCATAAAAGGATTGAGGGTGATTGATGCCTCAATTATGCCTACAATAGTAAGTGGGAATACGAATGCCCCGGTTATTATGATAGCAGAAAAGGGAGCCGATTTGATTAAAGAGTTTTGGGTTAAAACGGCGAGGTATGGGCGGTGGGCGAGAACGAGAAAAATGTGACACGAAATATTCCTGTGAGATAGAAATTGTTCTTTAAGCAAGTGAATAAAAATTACCAGGTTGTGATATGTGTAGTTATATCATTAATTTTATATTAAATTATTTTCTGTTTTCAACATAATGTCAATAAATTTGATGCGACTAACAATATTCTCATGTTTTAATATTTTTGGGTTATCCTTTTTTTTTAGAAGTTGATGGAGTTGTTTAATAAATAAATTTTCAAATATTTGTAGTTAATTGTGGTTAGTTTAGTTTGTTAAAATAAAAACAAACCAAGACTCGCTCGAGAGCTATACAACGTAGGATATATAGTCTCCACAAACTTTCGTACGGTTGTAGTTTATAACACAACACATAAAACTGATTTTTAAGAATGGCATACAACCAGTGCAAAATTTATGATAAATACAAAACTAACAAAGTGAAACTGTGAAGTATTGTTTGTTCTACTATTATGATTAAACGAAAGGGAACAATGTGTGCATTCAGAAAAAGAGTTATTATTATACCTATAAGAAACATCCAGTAGGAATAATTCTCTAAAGTTTTCAAAATTGATGAAAGCAGAAGTATAATTATCGAGATGAAAACATTCCCATCTAAAATACTCGAATCAACAATGGATACTTTGTATAGAGTTTTTAGGAAAAAGTAGACGTCCGTTGTTTGTCATCCGTCGTCTGGCGACTACCGTGTGTAGTCTGTTGGTGATGTTATTAGCCCAAAACTACTGGATTGAATGCTGTGATGTTGTGAAATTTTATATGCCGTTGATGGAATCTCGGACTTATGCCCTGCTCTAGATCCTTTAATGCTTATAATTTGAAAACATCTTCAAGATTGCAAAGCATTCGGTTTTGATTAATTCAATAAAATAAATTCACGCATTCATTATTTTTTTTAAGTCACCCTGTATATGCAAATCCAAAAAAATATGAATGGAATGATGAATCACAAGTACAGACGTATCATATTTTCTACATTTTAGATAGGTTTTATTCGGCATAATTTTGAGCTGACATCATTAATTTTTTGGAGGGGATAAGTAAATATATTTTGATTAAAAATATACCATGCTTATCATAACTGTAAACCATTTGCAAAATTTTAAAGCGTTCGGTTTTGCAGATTCGAAATTAAATTACAAAATGTTGTTTCATAATTTTGATTTTTTTCCAAAAATATGGACGGCCGACGGATTCGATGACAATACTTCCTTTGCTTACGCTCGGTAAAAAAAAAGCATAATTTAATAATTTCGAAAGTTAGAAAACACACACCCTGATTTGTAATAAGCTCAGTGCACTTTGTAGCGAGAAAAAAAAAAGAGAAATGTTTGAACTATAGGGCCGGTATATTTGTGGTAACAAATTTTTTTGGGGATTTCGTGTTGTCGTTAGCATGTTATATATAGTTAACACCACAGTGGGTGTGTAAATTTAAATTTGTAGCAATGTTATTAGCTTATTAGCCAATACGAAATTTTTGGACAGCCTAACTATTGGTGTATTCGTATCTTCCTTGTATCACTTTTCATTCATAAAGTTTTTGTTCATGAATAAATACTCTGCACACATTCAACATTTCCGCTCCCGCTGCGACACCAACAAACCTCTCTTGAATTTCATGTATCTCAGCAATTCTTTAATCGTGCAAAGGCGCAAACCAGCATAATCGTCCATTCGTTCGCAGAACTCCGCATCAAAATGTCATCTCCTCACACCCAGATGAACCTTTTCTCCGTGACCCGAATGGCCCTAACCCTCGGCCCCGGTTTAGGCTTTCTATTGTACCTCTACTCCTCTACCATAACCCACCGTACAGACATTATCGACCTCGAACACCGCGTCAGTGACATCCCCACATACGAAATCCTCCCTTCTTATGACTTTATCATCGTCGGGGGTGGCAGCGCCGGGGCTGTTTTGGCTAATCGACTAACCGAAAACCCGAACTGGAACGTACTCTTGTTGGAAGCAGGGCCTGACGAAATTTCGCTAACCGATTTGCCGCTGCTATTTCCAACCCTCCAATTGTCGCCGTTGGATTGGCAGTTTAAGACTGAGCCGGGTGAGAATTATTGTAGGGGGATGGTGGAAGGGAAATGCAATTGGCCGCGAGGCAAGGTCTTGGGAGGTTGTAGTGTGCTGAATGCTATGTTGTATGTGAGGGGGAATAGGCGGGATTACGATCGGTGGGCGGAGATTGGGAACGTGGGGTGGAGCTACAAGGAAGTGTTGCCGTATTTTAAGAAGTCGGAGGATATGAGAATTGAGGATTATAAAGATAATGATTATCATGGAACAGGTGGATTTCTTTCGGTGGAAAACTTCAGGTAACAATTCATTGTCTCCATATTTATTTTAATTAGTAAATACTTATTCTACGTGTTTTAATTTTCAGGTATCATTCTCCAATGGCTGAATGGTTCCTCTCGGCTGCCCAGGAAATAGGTTACTCCATTTTGGATATCAACGGGCCTTATCAAACCGGTTTCACCCTTGCTCATGGTACCCTCAAAGATGGTCTTCGCTGTAGTACTGCCAAAGGTTTCCTTCGTCCAGTTAGCAAACGCCCCAACCTCCACATCAGTCTTTACTCCCTCGTTGAAAAAATCATCATCCACAACGAAACTCGAGAAGCTATGGCTGTTATTGTCAACAAATTCGGTGTTCGGAGAACAATTTACACTGACAAAGAAATTATTCTAAGTGCTGGTGCCCTCCAATCCCCCCAACTTCTCATGTTATCAGGAGTAGGGCCAAGTCAACATTTACAAGAAAACGGGATAGAAGTAATCGTTGATTCTCCCGGTGTGGGGGAGAATCTACAAGATCACGCGGCTATTGGTGGAGTAACTTTCCTCTTCCAACCACCTCCAGAGTATGAGAATAAGACTTGTGGTTTTATTCTTCCTAAAGTGTTTTCGACTGAAACAATAAATGAGTTTGCTCAGAAAAAAGAAGGTCCTGTGTATTGGCTACCCGAATGTGAGGTTATGGGGTTTGTTAAGACGAAATATGAAAATCCTGAGGATGATTGGCCCGATATTCAGTATTTTTTTACTTCGTATGCTGATAACACAGATGGAGGGATGTTTGGAAAGAAGGCAGCTGGTTTGACGGATGAGTTTTATTCCGCTGTGTACGAAGAGGTGCTGTATGAAGATGCTTTCAACGTGATAGTCTTACTGTTAAGGCCAAAGAGCAGAGGAAAGTTATTACTGAAGGACACAAATCCTAATAGCCATGTTGTTATTTATCCCAACTATTTTGCTGATAAGGATGATATAAAAGTGCTAGTAAGTTGAGTTTAATAATTTATTTTTAGTTCGACTATTTGCTATTGTTGTTTTAAATACTATAATTAATAGATAACAAACATGCAATTTCAGTTGTTAACAATGTACGAGTTATCATAAATTAACACTTATACTTCAAACTCTGCATGCGTTGACGTAATGAATAATAAAACCAAGTTTGCTAGTATAAATTACTGTCATTAATTTTGAAATTACTTTACGTTAATTTCATACAATAATCTTTGTTCAGCAACTTTCTCAGTCTGACACCAAACATATCGGTTTTACTTTCAAAATAGCGTAAACATTGAAATTCTGTTTTTAGATTTCCAGAACTGTCATTTATTAATATTTCGAGAACCTTTGAAATTAGTTGAAAGATTGTTTTCGAGATGAAATGACTTTCATTCTCCAATAAAAACGGGACAATTTATTAGAAGTCGTTTGCGAATATAGTAGTACTTTGAACATTTGATATGTTATAGCTTTAACAAAAACACCTTGCGAAAGTTCCATCACAGTTCAGTAATAAAATAATCTGCAAGCAGTTCAGAAGCCAGACAAAAAGTTTTATTCGTGTATCTATATAAAATATGTATATATTTAATAATTAAAAAAATTCTCATTTAGTAACTAATTAATCGTTTGTCATCTTGACGAAGCAATAAATTTTCTTCGACCATTTAGTTAGGCTGAGTTTTGTAGTGGTACAGTCCTTTTTAGTTATATCCGTCAAGATTCACTTTGCATACATAGATCTTCTATAACCATACCTTATTTTTGTTTTCTGTCAATATTTTTAAGGATAAATATTTTGCGAATTTTGTTTTAATATAACCACTCCGTATATGAAAATTTAGGTCAAATAGCATACAGGATGTTTCCACAGATACATGGTAGAGGATTGTTCGTTTTTTGTAATTCAGTGAAAAAGTGCTGAATATTGGTAAAAAAACAATAAATAACGAAAGTCCCACTTCTTTTTTGCTATAATCTAACAAAACATTCTGATGTAGATTGTAAATTATCATTATTAATAAAATGTTTAGTAAAATATTTTTGAAAAAAGCTGGTGAAACGTCTGTTCGTGTGATTTTTTTCGAATACCGATGAAGATTATTTATAATGACTATGTGACTTACGTCATTATCCAATTCATCAAGTATGAAGGCACTTTGTTAGTGCGAATATTATAAAATGCAATATAAATCACGTAATTGCAAAACTTAGAGAAAAAGATTAGAGAATTTGTTTAAAATTCCGAAAAAGACTTACAGAACCTGTGAGATAAATAATAAAACAATGAATAAAATATAAAAAAACTTGTTATATTTTATGACGCAATACTTAGGAATATTTCTATTTTCATCATAAAAATCTGGAACAACCGAACCGCCAAAAAAAATTGAGACCATCGACCCACTTCGCCAAGTCTTTCTTTGGACAAAAATCATTTGGAATGAAAAATAATGAATTATTTTCCGTTGAAAACATGCCAACATCGTTGGAGTCGATTTTTCTGTGAAATTTACCAGTGTCGTGGCTATGTAACCGTAGAAATAGCAGTGGATCGTTAGATCACGAGCAAAAATTATACCAAAATTTTATCTGAAAATAACAAGCCACTCCTTGCGGGCAAAAAAATTGACTATAAAAATTGGTCGAAGGATATTTCGACAAAACTTCCCTCGTGTCTGATGTACAATAAAATATACCCAGCTTTTCCGAAAAATTGTAAATTTGATTTTGCGATTTCTTTAATACGTTAAAATAAAGACATGTCTGTAATGTTAAAGTAGATGTAAAAAAGCGTGCTAGCCGTATGTTTCAAATGAGTTTTTCCTTTACAAACTGTTGTGATGACATCATCAATATTTCTGCAAGGATACATCAATGTATAGGTGTACTGTAATACTAATAATAACAATATACCCGAACTTTCGGGACTAATTCATAGTTCTGTATAAGCAATGCTAAAAAATATGAATGAATAAATTATAAGTATAGACTCATCATCATATTTTGCGCATTTTAGATAGGATTTATTTAATATAATTTATAGGTGACGTCATAAATTTTTTTGGGGCACGAACATATAATAAATTTTCCTTAAAAATTTACCATGTTTGTGATAACTTTAAAACGTCCGCAATATTTCAAAGTATACGGTTTTAGAGACTCTAAATTAGATTGTAAAATTTTGTTATAAAATTTTAATTGTTTTCGAAAAAATTTGGATATCTAGGATAAAAACTCAACACGGATTCATAAACTACATGTGTAAGAGTATACTATTTTATACAATCCAGAACCCATTTATTATGTACAATTTTGAAGTGATGCCATAACATTATTGGTGGGGATGATTAGACAAAATTTGGTTGGCGTTTTACGATCAGCATGTGTTCATAATAACCATTTAAAATTTGGCAACAATCTGTCTGGTAGTTGCGGAAATTATCTGTCTAACAAAAATTGACATAGATGGCGGATAGACAGACAGAGAGACAAACGGAAAAAGGAGACCTATTTTTTCGTACTCAAAGGGTCATGACACACCGAAAAAATATGAATGTAGCCAGCCGCCCAATGGAATCAATTACAATACTTCCTTGGCTTACGTTCGAGAAGTAGAAAGACAAAAAACCTGTATGTATTTTTTTTCTAGGTGGAAGGAGCTAAAATCGCATACAACATAATTATGAACACCACTGTGATGGCAAAATACAATACTCGGTACAACGACCTCCGCATGCCAGGCTGTCATCATTTAGAGTTCCTTTCAGATGAATACTGGGCATGTCAAGCCAAGTATTACACTCTGACCATCTACCATCCCGTTGGTACTGCGAAAATGGGTCCCGACGATGACCCGATGGCGGTTGTTGACCCCAAGCTAAAAGTTAGAGGTTTATCAAGACTGAGGGTTGTTGATGGGTCAATTATGCCCTACATTGTCAGCGGTAATACTAACGCTCCCATTATAATGATTGCGGAAAAAGCTAGTGATATGATTAAACAAGAGTGGAGGGAGTATGCTGATAAAAATCAAAATAATGAAGAAAATCAAGCTCAAAATAATAAAAAAGATCAATATCAAAATAATGAAGAAGATCAAGATGAAAATAATGAAGAATATGAAGATCAAAGTAATGAAGAAGATCAAGATCAAAATAATCAAGACAAAGTGATGAGGAAGGCTCCCAGAATTGTGGATCCTGACTATTGGTAATAGCATTTTCAGTTGACTTTCATTTCAATTCAAATTAGCATTAGTTTGACAATTTATTTTTTGACTGTGAAATAAATAAATATATGTAGTATTTTTGTTTTCTAAGTGCAGCCGGAAACTGTTTAAGTGGCCGTAAACCAATCCATTTTTACTTCCTGAGCGTAAGCTGAATATTGTAATCGAGTCTTTCATGTTTCCTCGACGTTTCATGACCCCAAGAATGCGAAAAATAGGTCCCTCGTTTTCGTCTCTCTGTCGGCCGCGGCAGATTTTTGAAAAAAATCAAAACTGTTTAACATTTTCAAATTTAACTTTAAGACTGCAAAACCGAATGTTCTGAAATCTCGCAAATAAATAAATACTTTACGCTTATCGTAATCATAGTAAATTGTTAATCAAAGTTTATCTCTCCCAAAAAGAGTTGATGGCAACTCAAAATTTTACAGAATAAGTGTGAAATATGGACAACATAAGGAATCTATAAAGTTTTTAAAAAACACCACCTGTTGATTTTAGTTGCTAACAAAAAAAACTCCAGGGGTAATTTTTATATTCTTAAAGCGGCACTACGTTTTATACCGTTCAAAACTTCAACAAACCCCAAGGTTCTCATCACGAAACACAAAAATACAAACAAATTGTAATTATTTTAACGTTTGTAGAATTTGCGTTTATTGTCCTTCTGTAAAACGTTCTGAAACGTGAAAACACTGCCAAAATCTGTTATTGAGTCTGCTATCGTTATGAGTTAGTTATAATAATCTTTTCTTCCCCTATGACAAAACTTTAAATCTGCGGTGTTGTCGGTTGTATTTTCGAGGTAGATGTTGGTGGTTTTTTAATTTTGTTCATTGCTAATTACAAGGTTACTTAAAAATTAATGTATGATTATTGCTCATCCCATTCCCCGAAAATTTGAGAATACAGTACTGTTATTATTTAATAGTATTACATTCCACTTATTCAAATTGATATACGTGTCCTTGCTAAAATGTTGAGGACCTTATTAACATTGTATATGGAAAAAGTCACTAGAAACATATGCATCATTTACTTGTACATTAACAATCTACACATATCTATGTATAATAATTTTGGCTCATAGGAATAATCACTAAAAAAAAATAAAATTTTGTATGCCTTCATTACTATTCGGTGTTGTTGATGATAATGCCTAGACTTAAGTTACACCACTATAAATAATTAGATTTTAAACTCCAAATCAAATTGTTAATAATATGAGGATTCCTCCATGGTTTTCGTAAAACTGGTTTCTGAGGTCTCTTAGTAGCACGCATTCTGTTTTAATGTTGGTACAACGCATGGTGTCTTACTAGTGGTGACAGATAATAGCCGAAATAATTTAACTTCTGTTGTGAGTGTGATTTTTAAGAAGGTAAGTGAATAATTTTTCGAAGAGTAGATACATGGTGAAAAATAATGACTACTTACATTCCTACTCGAGACCAAAAATTAAAGGAAGTGTTGATAACCTACCTAGACCTTGACACCACGTTTCATGGACATCATTGCGTTTAGGATGTTAGACTACCTATAATTTATTGTTTTAAATCCAGAAAATTTATTCAAGTAAAAAAGAAAAATCAATGAGATAAACTTAACTAAATATAATCAAACCGGTGTCAAAATGTTAGATAAATTAAGTTTAAATCATAATTGTGTTTATTTTACTGGAATGTTCTTTTTCTATAAATTTTGAATGTCGCTTCTTTTGGGCCAAGATGATGTGATTTTATACAAAATTCATATAATATTGGAAGAATATCAAAAAAATTTCATTCTGGAACAAATTTCTGTAAATGTTATACTTTCGCATTAAATAATATACAAATTTATTTAATTGGTAGTTTTTCTATTGTTTATCATATTTCTACATCAGTGTCACAAACAGGTCAAGAGCAACAGTGAAAACAATGAAATAACTTTAATTATGTATATTTAGTGCTTAAAATTGGTGGTAGGTTCCATTCGCCGGAATGTCTATAAATATGTACTTGTTTACATGTTAGATTATTCAAGTTAGATAACCCATTATACACTTGAGTTGTTGTATGCAACTATTAAAGTTTATTTTTTAAGGGCGTGGGCAAAATTATGCGACATAATTTACACAAACTAAGGGTGACGTTGATTAATTTTTTAATTCGAACAAAATGTGTAAGCCAAGATTACGTGTTAGCATATATATTACCAAAATAAATGAAATAAAAACTTTTACGTTCACAATAATGTGACATTTCAACGTTGTGCAAAAAGTCAATTTCGACGTTTATTTTATTTTTTTTTTTTGCAAAGCACACTCTAATTCAAAATACACATATGAAAATTGACCAGTAGAATTAAGCGGTTTATGAATGTTCGAGTTTTACTTTGAAACGTAAATTAAAAATTCATGGCTGCAAAAACTCTGCAGAAAAAGCAACGTCCTATGAAAACGTTACAGGGTTAGCAGTTTAGTTCTGGTTCTGAGTTTGGCAGAGGTTTATAGGGTTTTATGACCATGTGTTCCAAGGCTGGCGGAGTATTAGACAAAAGCAATTATTTCTATTTTTTGCTTAAAAATTAATTAAATAAAAAATAACTTCTTAATTTCATTGTAAATAGGAAATAGAAAGCCTCCTGCCGAGTTTTAATTCTTTCAATATTGTATAACATAAAAGGATAACTTGATTCGACTCGATTCTGTACATAAGTAATTTACGATATTTAGTTTGGAAATAAAAGTTTCTATCATTTCAAAATAATTTTTTAAGATGTCCGTACTTACCTACAGTTCTGCTAATGTGAAATAAAATGGTTAATCAGTAATTACATTAATATGAATAATATTTTAGTCATAAACTGACATCAACACATACTGTTTATAAATTTCTCAAAAAAACTGACTTGTAACAATATGAGGTTTATAGTTCGTTTTCTGAGTCATTGTTCCGAATAATATTATAGTTTCGTCTGATTTTTCACTACGGATGCAGAAAAAATCATTAAATAGCCGAAAATACAGATAGTTGTAATATGAAACTGTGCGACTCTCTTTTTTAACTTACAAAATTATAGTAGTAATTAATATAATCCAAAGAGTTAGAACCGTTTCGCAAATTAGAAATAAAAAGTATAAACGACGTTAATTTTTAAAGAGCTACAACAAAAAATGTAAACAATAAAAAAATTCAACCACGCACAATAAAAAAACAATTAAAAGGATTAACTAAATCAAATGGAGCCGCCATCGTTATAAATTTTTTAAACCGGCTGTTAATGGATAAAGCTGACGATTTTGGCAAACCTTGGCATTTGTTTAAGACGATGAATAGTTGGTGTTCAGAAATTGATTATTAAATATTAATTAATATGCATTCTTAGCACAATTTCCATTTGACTTTGTACTTATAATAAAAAGGACCTATAAAGGTGGGAACAGCATGAGAGCATGTCAGAAATCCTTGTTAATCAGTCAGTGTTGATTATTTCTCTACGCAGATTTTGATAACAACATTTTAATCACCATAAATAAAGGTAGGCAAAACCACATTCATTTAACATACTGGAATTGAGTTGAAATAAATACATCGCATTACACTGATGCGTTTTGTATGTCTTTTAGAATTGAGTAAAAACCATTACGCTAAATTTGAAAGAGATTTTTGGCGAGAATTGACTCTTGTTTACAATGGAGTGTCTAAATATTTTAAATGTTTTCAGTTCTTTTGTAATAATTTTATGATCAGTAATATTCATTATTAACAATGCTAGAATTTTGCTTTACAAGAAGGAAAAAATTAATTAGTGTAATAGTTTTCCTGTTGCTTGGAAACGACACAATATGCGAATGGTAGGTAGGTCGCTAAAGAGCAGTGTGGAAAATTGTTTCTTAAAAATGTTTCCTGAAGCAAGTTTTACGAAAATTAATACGCAATCAGTCTAGATGAATACCTTTTTTACGGGTGTTTAGAAGTGTTTACTGCATGTGTATTGAGAAAAAATGTACTGTACGCGTTTCTAGCTTATTTTATATACAAGATTATCCACGAGAAGCTTTACACTTGACAAATTCAAAACGCAACCAACAGTACAATTTCATGACAGTCGTTGATATTATTTTATAAGACCATCATCTCTGTTTTAAGTTAAAAACAGTTAGCTGTTTGGTTTTGATATTTTGGAAATAAAAGTCAATTATTATGTTAAAATTAAAAACAAAAAATTCAAAATAAGAGCTCGTCAGGGAATGGCCAGTCCGGAAAAAGTGTTTCACTTTTTTTTTTTAAATGGTATGAAATATCAAAGACGGTTTTGAAATTGTATTTCTGGTCGCGTTTTAAATTTTTTAGGTGTAGAGCTTCTCGTGAATAACCCTGTATGTGAAAAATATGTAATTTTTCACGTTCAAAATATGTAATTTTTCACGTTCGTTTCACCATGTAACATTATTGGAGCTATTATGAAAATTGTGCGAATGAAAGAAATTGAAACACTGTGTTAAAATCTGAATCAAAGTAGCAATCAGCACTCTATGCAAAAACCACCGTTCGTCTCTTTTGCAGAATTTTAAATGTTACTCTTTGGCAGGCGTTGGTACTTGTTTCGCAAATTTCGGAAGTACCCGACTTTGTCTGTGATCAAGAATTGTCGGGAAGAAATATAACGAAACTACGACCTCAAAATTCTGCAGTTGTTTAAAACAAACTTTCTTGGGAAAAAAATTAAACAGGTAATTGTCAGAACAATGAAATCATGCTCGTAATTCGTACCCCTTTCATCATTACGATTAATTTCCATGTCCTATACACCCAATATTAACTACAACAAACAACATCACTTCAAGAAACGATTAATATAGTCATTTACATAATGTTTTAGTTGCCAATTTTATGATACAAAATGTAATTACCAACTATTTGTTTCAACAGATATACAACATAATGGAAAATCTCGCCGGTCTAATGAACGCATGCCCCGATCCAACACCGGGCGTCTCTGCCCATCTCTTCCTCACTCTAGTCAATACCCTCACAAACGCTAAATGCAAAATCAACTCTCCGCAAAACTACCCCGAAGACTTCAGCTCCAAATTGAACGACCAAGATGAATTCGATTTCGTAATCATAGGTGGTGGATCTGCAGGATCTGTAATTGCTAACAAACTATCAGAAAATCCAAAGTGGAAAATTCTAGTGCTGGAAGCCGGAAAAATACCATCATTAGATACAGAGGTAACTTTTGTAACTATTACTTGTATTCAATAATGTTGATTTTATGTTACAGTTACCAAGTCTTCTCTTCAGTCTTCAACAAACCGCCGAAGACTGGCAATACGACACTGAACCAAACCCCAACGCTTGTCTGGGTATAAAAGGCAATAGATGTAGATGGCCTCGTGGTAAATGCCTAGGTGGTTCTAGTTCTATCAATGCTAATCTGTACGTCCGAGCAAATAAGAAAGATTTTGACCTATGGGCAGCTGCTGGTAACGAAGGATGGGACTATGAATCAATTCTCAAATATTTAAAAGAAATAGAAGATCTGCAAGCGCCAGATCTGATTAATTCAGAGAATTATGGACGTGGTGGTTATCTTCCGCTCAATGTATATCATTCGAACGAACCTATCAAAAAAGCAATTGTAGAAGCTGCTGCTTCCTTGGGTTATCCAATGTCGTCGGAAGAACCAAATTTGGGATTTTTTGATGCTTTACAGACTGTTGAAAAAGGTATCAGGGCAAATGCTGGAAAAGCTTTTATTGGAAGAGTAAAAGACAGGGAGAACCTGGTAGTTGCTTTGAATTCTTTCGTTGAAAAAATTGTGATAAACGAGCAAAAAGAGGTTCAGGGAGTTGTAGTTCTTATTGATAACAAGAGAATTACCATTAAAGTTCGCAAAGAAGTCATTGTGTCAGCAGGGAGTCTAAATAGTCCACAGATTTTGATGTTGTCAGGAGTTGGACCCAAGGAACACTTGAAAAAGATTGGAATTGATATAGTACAGGATTTACCAGTGGGAGAAAATCTACAAGATCATGCCGCCCACGTGGGTATTTACATAGCACTATCAGATGAAGCTGTCCTACCGAAAGGTAACATAATAGATGATTTGTACCAATATTTCATGCAAGGTAAAGGACCTGTTGGTGAAATTGGATTAACAAATTTCATGGGATTTATTAACACAAGAAATGATTCGATCTACCCCAATATTCAAATACTCCACGTACTGTTTGACAAAAACGACAATTATCTCCTCCCAACCCTTCAAAACGTGATGGGTTTGAAAGACGAGATAACGTCGATTGAGAGACAAGTGAATCAGAAATCGCCAACTTTGAAAATTGTTCCTATTCTTTCAAACCCCAAATCGAGAGGGCGAATTCAGCTAAGATCCAAAAATCCTTTCGATAAACCTTTGATCTACGCCAATTATTTTGATAACCCAGAAGATATTGAAACCCTTCTCGGAGGCATCAAATTTATCCTCAAGCTACTAGAAACCGCACCGGTTAACAAGTTAAACCCCCAAGTAATCGATCTTCAAATTCCTGGATGTGAGACGTTCGAGTTCAAATCGGACGATTTTTGGCGGTGTGCTATCAAACACGTGACAACTACTCTGTATCATCCCGTTGGTAGTTGTAAGATGGGTTTGTTGAGTGATAAGGGCGTCGTTGATAATAGGTTGAAGGTCTATGGAATTAAGAATCTGAGAGTGATTGATGCGTCTATTATGCCTACCGTGACAACGGGAAATACGAATGCTCCTTCTTTGATGATTGGTCAAAAAGGGGCAAGTATGATTGTGGATGATTGGAGCCACGGTCATAGCGAACTGTAGAACTGTTGACATTTATTATGCTGTTGTATGTGTTGTGAAGGTTATTAAATCTAATAAGGTGGAGATTGTTTGATTGTAATTTACAAAAAAGTATGAAAAACCTAAACAATTACTAAGTCTTAAAACATTTTTTAAACACCTACTCACATTTTTCCGAATGTTTGTTAGGCATGGTTTTAATTAATATTTCTTAAATAACAAAATGCTATGATAACTATTTTGATGAGAAAGCTTCCAATCTGAGTTCATTTAAAGGACTCTAAATTAAATTACAAGAATCTATTTAATATTATATAATGCCAACTTGTGTCACAAAGTTGTTTTATTGTTAATTAGGAAAATAAATAAGGGAAAACTGATTAAAAAGTGCACACTAATGCATAGAGACTTCTGTATAAGTGATCCAAAGCAATTTGGAAAACAGCGATCAATAAATCTTATCTAATTCTGGAACGTAAGGAACGTTTAGTTATTTTGCACATTTTCGCCAGGATTTATTTAGCAAAATTTTGGAATAACCTCACCCTTTTTTTTGGTGGGGGATAAACATATATTTTGATTAAAAATTTACCATACTTACTGTTAACGCCAATAAATATTGTCGGGATGTTTGAGTTTATTATATGTCTCCGCCGCCTAGGCCAGCTGCGGCAGCACCATTTGAGGTGCCGGCCGACAGTGCCGAAAGGGGCGGCTTGTATCTTGGCAGTGCCGAACATGTGTAAACGGCACTAAGAGTTGTACTGCAGTCGTCTGGACGAACAAACATGTTTCGGGAAATAAATGTAGTTCTGTTAAACCAAACAGCGTTTAATTTCCACACAAACGAATTCTTAAAAAGAATTAAACACTTACGATAACTTTAAAACGTCTGCAAGATTTTAGAGCAATTGGTTTTGCAATTCCTCATGTAATCAATAAAATAAATTGACTCATTCATTAATTTTTTTGAGTTGTCTTGTATAAGAAATTGTAAAAAATATGAAAGCAACGATACATACAAGTATACATTTACCATATTTTGCACATTTTAAATAGAATTTATTCGGCAAAATTTTGAGATGACTTCATTAATATTCTGCGGGAGGGGTTGGTGGTAACCAAATATATTCTGATTAACATTTTACCATGTTTACGACAACTTTAAAACGTCTGCAAGATTTCAAACCATTCGGTTTTGCAGATTTAAAATTAAATTGCAAAATGTTATAGAATTAAATTTTTTTTACAAAAATCTGGGTGTCTCAGGTAAAAACTCCCCACGGAAACTACATGTGTAGGACTATGTTATTTTATACAATTTAAAGTCCATTTACTATGTACCTACAATTTTGAGACGACGTCATCAAATTTTTGGAACGGATGATTATCCAAATTTTAGATAGCGTTTTACCATCTACATCGTATTCCTAATATACATACAATATTTGACAAAAATTGGTTTAGTAATTTCGGAGAATATTATTATTACTTGCCTAATACAATAATAGATACAGACATACGGAAACGGGAGACCACATTGTTCGAATCGTAGGGATCATGAAACGAGAAAATACGAAGGAGCAAGTCGCCGGATGGACTCGATTATATTATAATACTTCCTTCGCTTACGCTCGGAAAGCGAAAATGTTTTCTGTTCTGACACGAGGCTATCGTTTGAAAATGTGGGTTCTTAGTAGTGAAATTCGTCCAACTTTCAACATTTCCCGCCAGCCAGATACTGGACTAAATATGTAGGTATATTCAGATGAACTTTCAAAAATGTAATCACCAGGAAGAATCTTACAAAAACGTTAACTCGCTTTATACTTTTCTACAATGAAATAATTTCACAACAACCACAAAACCCATAGACACATTTTTACAAATGATCGATGACCCTAACACACTAAACTTTCTGCAGTCTAGTAATTATTAAACTGTTTCTTAACGTAATACAAACTGCTCGCCGGCCCACATTTTCCCCGAGCATTGCTTCAATTTTTTCTGTTGCAATTGCAACTAATTGAACCAAGCAGACATATCCTTCCTATACATCAATCAATAGCTTAAGGACGCGATCACAAAATTAGAAAGTCTCATCATAAAAAGCAGCGAATTTATTAGCAGTATACTCAAACAATTTGAAAATTATATCGTTTGCCCACCAAATTTCGACACTTGTGCTGTTTCATTAGGGACCTTCTCGAAAAGGAGTAATACTATGATGCTTTCCTCTCCTTCTTCTCCTGCCTCCCTTTTTCCCTTTTCTTCTTCTCTTGGCGTCAACAATTTGGAACTGGGACCGTTGCTTATCAGTCATGTCTCTCCACATCTCGCCCCCAATTTTGGCCAACTGGGCGCAGCTCATTTTTAAAGTGGGTGTAATTTTTTTGAATTCCGTCAAAAAATTTATGAAGGGATTTCGTGAAATTGGATTGTTTTTGACGTCTTTTAATTCCGACTTTAAACCTCTGTCAACACTGTGGGTACGACTTCGGCGGAAATTTCGCGAAAATTCGTTTCGGTTTTCTTCGAAATCTGGATTCATGCCGTTTTCCTTCGGCCAACCCATCGAACGAGAATTTTGAGTTTTAAAAAAATCTTGACGTTTGAAGAAAATTGTTTGCGGATAATCGAATGTGTTGCTAGGAAAAAAAAATTGTTCGAAGCAGAGTTGACACGGATAGATTTTTGCGACACTTTTCAGTTTATTACTTCATTGGGTGACTAGCTACTTTCATGTTTTCTCAACGTTGCATGACCCCTGTAGTATAATATTTTACAATTTAACTTTGAAATTGCAAAACCGAATGGTGAAGTTTTTTCTTAATGATATTTGAATTTTATAAAATAACACATTCCTGCATGTGTGATTTATGAATCCATTAGCCTAGACATATATAAATTTTTGAAAAAAAAAAGTGTAACATTTTGCAATTTGACTTCAAATCTCTAAAATCTTGCAAATGTTTGGTGGTTATCGTAAGCATAGTAAATCGTTAATAAAATTTATCCGTTTATCCCCTCTCAAAAAAGTTGATCATAGCATCTCCAATTTTACCGCAAAAAATCTGAAAGATATACAATATTAAGAGTCTCTATTTGTGGCTTATCAAAGAATTTTTTGGAATAGCTTATATAAAGTGACTCAAACAAATTAATGAATGAGGACTTTTTAAAAGTAATGAGTAATTGTAATGAATTCCTTAAAAAAAAGTAATTTGTAATTGTAATGAATTACTATTGTTACTGAATAATGAGTAATTGGAATGCGTTACTTTTTAAAAATAATTGTTCCAATCACTGCATAAATAACACCCCCGCAGCCCCTAGGCCAAGGGAACGCAAATTCTTAGAATTTGCGTTCCCAAGTGCGGGCAATGTAAAGTATATTTAAAGCACGGGATAAAATGTTCTCTCAACACTAGGTAATAGCAATCTAAATCTCAAGTGTTTATTTATATTTATACATTGAAAGAATGTCAGGTCGAAATTAGTTTGATTTGAATGAGTTTGTTTTATCAAAACAGAGGACTAAAATTACTATTAATTAAGCCAGAATCGAACAAAATGTTCTGAATATTGTAATTCTTATTTTATCATTATTAAATAAATTCTCACATTTTCGAGAAATTGGGGTGACTCCTTCTTAATATGACCAACAAAAAATTTGTGACAACGTCATCAACATCCGATGGACTCGATTACTATACTTCCTTACTTTACGCTCGGGGAGTAAAAAAAAATTGATACCCTATGAGGAAAAGGTTTCTAGAAAATTACCTACTCTGCAGAAAAGTTTTGAAATCGCAAATTAATGTATTGTTAGGAAATAAACCCATACGCCGCACCGGTACGACGCCTATGAGTTTTCTCGAGGGCTTTCTAATATGTACGGCGATGATAGGTAACTCATCATCGGTGATGGCGGCCAGGCGGCGTTCGCATAAAGAAAAGCCCGGAGCGGGTTGCCGAAAGTCTCGATGGCGCATGATTGTTTAAATAGGGACCACCGTCGGGAGTCATTTAGTCAATGAGAGAATCCAGTTTAATTTCGTCGGAATTATTCTGTACATAATCGCTGTGTAGTTAGTCGTGTAAATTTGTTTCACCCGTAAATCGTAACGGAATGTATGTACCTATATACAGAGTCCCTCAAAAATATGAAACTTACAGTGTTAGAAGGCTGCATTTTGTAACTTTATTGGATCTATGTGTCGAGATCAAATTCAACTTGATTTTTCAGTAAATGATAACATCATTATTTTAACACGCACTCACCTATGCTGATCTATAAATGCTATAAATGATTATACACTTCCATTTGTCCACATGTCCTCGTAGTACAGTTTTGTAAAAGTGGAAAAGTTTAGTAATATTACCTATTAGCTTATGACCTAAATACCTATTAAAATATGATCAAAAAATTTAAAACTAGATATGGGTGTTTCGCAAATAGTAATCTTGTAAACCATTTGGCATCAAGTTACTTTAATTGTCTAGGGAATCTGGAGCCTCAATAATAGCTTGCCAGTCTAGGAAATCTGGGGCCTCAATAATGGCTTGGTTCTCATAATTCTTCTCCAACTCTTGTACAGAGACAAATCGATGAGGGTTCATAAAATCAACAATTTCAATTTCTTTGCTTTTTCAAATGTCACTGTAACTTGTATTTTCATGACATCAGATTATGGTATCTAGCTATTAACTTTATTACAAGTTTTATGGTTTTATTTAAATCCTCAGAGTGTATCCACACCACCGGAATGGGACTATTTGGCGCGGCCGACTTGGCGCGGCCAACTTGGCGCGGCCGACTTGGCGCGAGCCATTTTGGCGCAAAGCCAACTTGGCGCAGGGACACTTTGGCGCAAGCCATCTTGGCGCGAGTACGTCGGTATATAATATAAAAAATATTTATTGCTCGTACTTTGGTTGGCACCCTGTTATTTATGCTAAGTGTAGGCAACCAAATACACATTTTCATTCCCACAAATTCTAATAACTAAATGATCCACGGAGCAAGAAGTTCCATGTTTGGGAGTATGTTTATAATGGGGTGCAGGGCGGGAAGCGCCCGTGTGTCCATTAAAAAGTCGACATTACCCCTCCCCGCGTTGGAGACTATAAAAATTAGGTTATGCTAACAACGGGTGCAATTTTTGTATATTTATACCTATTTTTCTTGGTGCAAGTTCATTCGCGCCAAAATGGCTCGCGCCAAGATGGCTTGCGCCAAAGTGTCCCTGCGCCAAACTGTCCCTGCGCCAAAATGTCTCGCGCCAAGTCGGCCGCGCCAAGTTGGCCGCGCCAAGTCGGCCGCGCCGAATTGTCCTAGACCGCCACACCACATAAAGATGGTTACATAAATGCATAACAGTCCATTTGTTCCTGTAAAACGCTTTACTAGTTAAATTACCTCAGGTTGAAAAATGTTGTGATGTATTCAAGGCTGAAAACAAGTTGTTAAAAAAGCGATTGGGTTTTACTGGCAAGTTTGATTTTTGATTCTCGTATTGATAAATAATAATTGACAAATCTAGTCGGTTCCAAAATTGTAAAACAAATTTCCTTGTATTTTGTATTTATCATTTAGTACAAGTGCTTCATTAATGTTATTTATCAGGGTATTAGTAAAGTGAGTGTAGTATAATTAATGTATTTATTAATATTATGTTTGAAAATAAAAAAAAAGTTAAATTTGTCTATCTAAGTACATTAAATTATATATTTATTATTCGTATGATTTCCACTCACTTATTAAATTAAATTAAATTATTAAATAACAATTGCCTTATGCAGGAGTTTATGTTGCCAAATTTTAGTGGGTAGTAGTTTAACACATCGCTGATTTCTTCACCACATCATGGCGGATACTTAGGAGAACACAGGATAATTCTCATCTAACCTTGAATTGCTCGGCGAATGCACGAATCATGTGTTGCAAAAGTCTTTGTTTTAACATATCCACTGAAAGGTGTGCACGTCTCACAATGAGTGAACGGGAAAAAAAATTCCCACGGTAATCAATATTATTGAAAGTGCGTAAAAAAATGATTAATCTCTGTTTTGAGGTATTTAAATTAGCCAAATCTGTGCGTTCTTTATCAAGCTTTGGAACGTCGTTAAATTTTTTTTTTGTTTATTTTATTAGAAATGTATTTCTAGATAAAGCAATATATTTTTGAAAACCTTTTTTGTAATGTCTTACTATAATATGCGCAAAAATATTTTAAATTGTGTCCGCTCAGACATCCTGCAGAAAGGAAGAAACGGAACCTTTCACAGACGCCGAAGTGAACACACGTAGCGGACACGTCATGCCACTCAGCGATAGTGGTTTTTACTATGGCAGATTACCTACTAGCGCCGGGGTGGACATATTGCCAATCTACAACGCTTGATTCCGTATACGCCCGGCGTAAAAAATAAAAGTTTCAGCGGATACCGCTGTCCGCCGCGCGATAAAAGAGAAAACGAACAGATATCGGTGTCCACTCTGGCAGCGAATGTGCTTTAAGCTATATTGAATCAAAAACGTTAACAACATTTTGGGCCTACATCTATCATAAATGTGTTACTGGAGGCACAAGTTGCGAGTGTCCAGGTTTGAGAACTTCTGGACAATTTTATAGCTAAGAGCACTACTTTCTAGTAGGTTGCTGCTAATATATTATTTTCAAATTATGTCATCAATTGTCGAATTAGCAGACACCCATCTCATGGCAGTTCGGTTATATCAAAATAATGG